AACGTCCCGACAGCAGCCTGTTGCATCGCTCATGTCCCTGGGGAGGGCACTTGGTTCGACTAGATCTGCGCAACATCCGAGTGATGGGAGCACCTGAAATCGCTAGTCGCTGGGATCCGCTGCTGTTTTGGTGGGGCGTGGGCTTCGGCTGGTTTGGAGTTTATAGAAATGCACATGGGAAAACGCCTTGATTTTGTGGGTGAGATTAGTTGAGGTGACAGTGGGAAAACATGCTTTCACAGAAATTGGAGAAACTTGGCGATCTCATCGCTGGCCAAACCTCGGTAAGTGGTAGATCGTGATGGTGCCATTTGTGGAACACATTCGAGATCATGTCTTATCACTGTTGATTTTGGGATACCGTACTTTTCTTGGAATGTTTTGGAAGGGGAAAGGATGAAAAGGGAAATGATGTTCGTTCAGTAGACCTGGGTTCAGACCGCAAAAGCATCTGGGTCAATAAATGCTACATAATTAGGTCAATTATTCATGATTGGTTCATCGTTTCTGCTGTTCAATCCTTCGTGGTGCTAAACCCAGAAGTGACAGGGTCCGACCATCAAGATCATCAAGTCGTTGAGATTTCAGGGAAACTCTGCGGGCAACGCATGTTTTTCAATATTTTTTACAGCATTGCTTTACTGTAAATAGTTCTTTCCGAAATATCATTCATTGTGAGATTTGAACCCCCATAGTTTGGAATAAAATCATATATAAAATATGGTAACATCCAATTTCCATCAATTTCCTGTCGTTTTTTCTCCGGTTTTTTTCCCATGGTTTTCGTGCTGGTAAATCTTCGTCGCCCAGGCAACGTGCTGGTGCGCCCGGAGGTTCGAAGTCGCTATTCTGGAGTGCTGGAGAAGGGCGTCTATCGTGATGTGATGTGCCTTGGTGCCAGGAGAGTTGTTTCGTAACATTTCGAAACGACGTCTCGAAATGGGACCTGAGGATTCGGTTGATAGATTCCTTGCTTTATAGGTTAATTGAATTATTGAATTTAAGAGACTAATGATAGACTATGATAGACTATGATAGACTTGATTGATTGATTGGTTGATTGGATAGGTAGCTTGAACCCCTGGCATTTGTGCAAAGCCTTGATCCATTTTAGCATTTTGAGCCACAACTCCTAGGGGATCCGGTGAACCACTGACCTCGGAAACCTCGCCCTGCCCGCGTGTTTGGCGCCAGCATTCCACTGCTGTGTTGTCATCCTGCTGCAAAGTTTCTTTTGCAATCTGGTGAAAAAAGCATTACCATGCAGATTTATATGTGTGCAGTCGCAAGTTCAAATAGAAGTGTCACACCGGATTGGACATGCAGGTTTTTTTTTTTGCCCCACCCAACCCGGCCCTCTATGAGATGTTGGCGGCAATGAGTGAAAAACGTGGGCATAGATGAGGGAGCTTGAAAAAACGTGCAGGACCACACAGTTCAAGTGAAACATACCCTTTGATGATAAGGGGAGAGGTATTTTGGCTGCATAGTAAACCTATGATAACACCTACGTCACCTATGTATCGTGTTAACGAACACTTTTGAACATATTTGAGCGTTGCCCAGGAAACCATGTTGACACGCAGATTTCTGAAGATTTCTTGCTGGTTTACTGCACTTACCAACTATCTAAACAGGTTTGTGATATAGTAACCGACGTCTAAAATATTCTAAAATGGGATACTGTAATGCCACTGACTGGGGACCTTACTGAGGAGTAGCGAAATTTTGAAGACCTTCAATCCTGGGGATGCCTTGATCGAGCAGGCGCTGGTAGATAGCCCCCAATGGAATTGGATAGGAATCTGACTTGAATAGGAATATAAATATATATTATATATATATGTGTGTGGTGTGTGTGTGTGTGTGAGAGAATAATTTATTATAATATATATATATATCTGTGTGTGTGATGGCATGTGAAATGTAATGATGGATATTGAGATCATCATTAGGACCATAAGGGGATGGTAAACCTACGTGGGATCATGCAAACATATACGATACAGTAATGGAACATCCGCAAGTTGCACATCATGTCCGAACGGGAAACGACCATGGATTTCCATGGCTAATACCCTTTACTGGAGGGTAACTCAATATCATGAAATATCCAGAGATTCTCTTCAGTAGTACCATTGAACATGTTACTGTAAGATGTTTAGATAAATGTCAACTAGGATAATTTATCTATAATTTTAAAAAATATAGATGCATTAGGGATAACGTTTATGCTAATCTATCCATGTCCAATGCTTAATGGGGCGAATGAATTCAAGAACAAGGAATGGTGTGGAACCAGCCAAAAATGCGCAAGAAAAACGGTGGGGATGCTACATAAGAAATGATGGCACACATGCATGATGAAATTAATCAACACCGGGAAGGAAGCAACAAACCATGAACATATCAAGAGTCAAGAGCAGTTGTTTGTCTCCTATACTGTACCGTGCATGATCCTCGCCCCCATGTCAGTTTGATATACTGTTAAAACATTAAGACATACTAAGACACCATACTCATCTGGGCACTTTGTTCAATAAACAATGTTGATCCCTTTCTGGGTTTACGACGTACCCCTGGAATTCCCTGGATGCAAAAGCACTCGCGTGTTGCCAGTTCTACACCATGCCGGCCTTACGTCTACCGGCGTTGCTTTTTGGTGACTTCTCAGGCCATGGCTGGGGATTTTCTGGACCCAAAATATCCCAAAATCATCCAAGTTAGTGGTCATTTTTAGGAGCCAAGCCAGTGGTTTCCCAATGGTTTGGGCTTTGGCTCATTTTTTTGGAAGCACCGTCCTGGCAAAGAAATTTAGGTGGTTGTGACTGGCGTAGAGGTGAAGCCGACAAAGATTTTGAGGCTTTCAGAAGTCCCAGAAGTCTCACGAAAATGGCGCATGCTCACAACACAATAGTAATAATGTTGGATGCTGATTAGTGTAGGGCCCCCCCAAACAATTTCAGGCTAAACTTTAGGGTGATGTTTTTTAGGGACCAGGTACTGAATAAAATTGGATCAATTGATTTCAATTGATTTCAATTTACTTTCAATTGATTTCAATTTACGTTTAATTGATTTAAGTTTACTTTCAATTGATTTCAAATCACTTTCAATTGATTTCAATTGATTTTCAATTGACTTCAATTGAATTTCAATTGATTTTAATTGATTTCAATTTACTTTCAATTGATTTCAATTTACGTTTAATTGATTTAAGTTTACTTTCAATTGATTTCAAATCACTTTCAATTCATTTCATTGTACTTACAGTTGATTTCAACTGATTTTCAATTTATTTCAATTGATTTTCAATTGAGTTTCAGGCCTCCCATCACGGCAAACTGCTTGATGAGGAGAAGGATTCTTTGAAACCCTCCCATCAGCCCAGCCATGGAGCACTGCAAGGCTTTCAATTGATGTTCTTTTGATTTCTTTTTACTTTCAGTTGATTTCTTTTTACTTTTGTTTGATCAATTCATCTCAATTGATGTTCGATGGATGCTCATTTTTTTCCATCTCAAATGGGGGATGTATTTCTTAGCTTGATAAAGCTCAGGTCCCACTCTGGCCAGCTTCTTAGCATCCCATCACCCCAGCCATGGGGCAGTTCAACGTTGAGATGGGCAACCCCAGGTGTGAGCTGAGGCATCATCAGGTGGAATGGGTTTCCCACCTCAGCAACCTCCTGTTTGTGGAGAAAATCCCTTTGGAGCCTAAGGCTTTGCATTGTTTTTTTTGGTTTCCCAATGGGAAAGTCCATTTCTTAATTCAAGATGAAACTCAAGTGCTCTCAGGGGCAGTTTGTGGACCTGCTGCAGAAGTACTACATTCAGCAGTTGGTTCAGCCGGATCTGCAGCCTGGGCTGGATCAGCCTGCTGCTCAAGATCAGGATCCTTGCCCCCTTGGGTGATGCCCAGAATCAATTCTTGAGCTTGCTGAGATCCACAAAAACTTGAGCTATCACCCAGGGAACACTCAGGAGCAATGGGTTAGGGCTCTGATGGCAGCTCTGAGGATGCTATGCAGGGTTGGCCCTCTGAGTCTGTCTCTCCTTCTCAGCTTGCCCAGCCTGCCAGGCCTGAGACACCTGATGCTACCCTCAGCAAGTTTCAAGAGATGGACAAGAAGCTCAATGCAGAGACTGAGGCTGAGGGGATGGAGGTGGGTGAGGACTGTCAAGTCTTGGACTCTCAGGTCTTGGATGATTCTCAGGTCTTGGGCTCTCAGCCTATGAGTGGTGATGATGAAGCAGCATCAGATCCACCCTCAGATGCTGAGCCCAACTGCAGGAAGGCCAAGTCTGAGGACTTCTAGAGGACTGAAGGTGTTTCTGGTGGTGTGGGATTGGTGCTCAGCTTGACCATATGACCATAATCTTAGCCCATCAGGCGGCACGGCTGGCCCACGCTCAACGCCACATTCAGGCAATGTTTTGTTTCTTTTTTTTGAGGGGGGGCACGTAAAAGAAACCAAACGAAGTGATTCCTGTTGCAGTTGTTCCAAAACAAGCACAAGCGAGGGCTTTCTGAAATTGGACGTGATGGATCCTGCTATTGGACGGGAAGCTGTCTTAATAATCAGTTTTTGTAAAAGCGAATCTGCTTGCCCAACTTTGATGCAAGGCCCTCACCGAAAAGCAAGCAGTGCTTGAGGACGAAATGGCTGAGGCAGTAACTGGGTCCAGGGCCAAGACATCAATGCATATAATGCAAGTGACAGTAGACACATGCAGTTGTAGTGGGTTGTCCGTGTATGCAGCGCCACGTTGCAACCTGTTTGGTAGGAAGTGCGCAACGATATGGCAGTTTTGCTGGCAAAACAGGAAAGACATCTTCTGGGATTGAGGCAGGTTTTGTCTAGGCAACGGTTCAGGCGGCAGGCGCCGGGCGGCCAATTCAACACTTGAAAACGCCGAGGCGTGCTTCGCGAAGCCGCTTCTGAGAACCGTGGTTGTGATCAGCTATAGAGATGGCTGTTCGATGGAACCCTTTGCCTGGTTTGATGCGTGGGTTCTTCGTAGCTCTTTGTGTATAACCTTTTGTGATGGGGTGTGAACTGTGCGCCCAGTGGCCATTCGCAGATGCTTGCCAGGAAGCCCTTGCAGTTGCCAATCAGAAACTTGTGGTTCTTGGCGAGGCACCATGCCTTGGCTGGCCGGTGTCGATCAAAGTCATATCTTTATCATTCGTTTATTATCCCTAAGCGGTGTTCAAAAATAAAATCATAGGGCTTGAGCCTGAAATATTTTTGGATTTATTTTTCAAAAGGTGCCTATCATAAGTTTTGAGTAGGTCAGACCCCTATGATTTTATTTTTGGGACATGGGCCAAGACCAAGAACCAACCCCAATGCAGCTGGTGGAGTAGCTTTAGGTTGGGTCCCTTTGGTTTTATTTTTGCGTTTTGCTTACCTTTTTGTTTTGTTGGAACATGTTGGAACACACCTCTTGTGTTGGAATTGGTGGACAAGACATGATGAAAACAATGGCTATCATAAATAAAATCAATGGGCTTGGCCCCGAACTATTTTTTTAATTTTTCAAAAGGTGTCTATCATGAGTTTTGCGTTGTGCTTACCTTTTTTTTGTGGAACACACATCTCTTGGGTTTGGATATGTTTGGATTCAATATTTGATAGATTTTGGGGAAAATAAAATCCAAGGTTCCCAAGCTTGTAGAATTTTGTTGGGTAGTATGGTTGGAATATATTGAATCTATGCTTTGTTTGGTGGGTCACTATTGTTTGGGCAGAAAAGGATGCAGCCAGAACACGCCACAAAAAAGAAAAAAACTATGGATTGTGATTACCTGATTACACCATTCTGCTATATTCTGCTTCTACAAAGCTTGAAATACATATTTAAAAACTGGGTTTGGATATGTTTGGATTCAATATTTGATAGATTTTGTTGAGATGAGATTTCAGCTGATTTCACAAACACATAGGCTGACCTTGAACCCTTCAGTTTTATTTCTGGAACATTTTGGATGCTGGCTTGGAACCTTCTTGATTTTATTTCTGGAACCTCTTGATTTTATTTTTGCAAACCCCTCAGTTGGATGACTGATGATTTCCTCTTTGCGCAACATGTGGGGTTGAACTCCCCTGATTTCATTTTTGCATTTTGGGGGCCAGTAGCCTGGGTACCCTTGATTTCATTTTATTTTTCAGGGGTTCAACCCCATCTGGGTGCACCACAAGGGGATGTTTATTTTGCATAGGCTACTTGAAGCAAGCAGTCACGTCTACCAATGTGGCATCTTGAAATCAGGAACCGTGCCAGGAACCCGTGACGGTTGCCAGCAGGCATAGCCATTGCGGTAGGTCAACTGGATCTGTGAAAACAGGAAGGTCTTGCAGGGGGGCCACGATCCCAAATTGAAATGCGCATTTGAAACATAAATATAGTTGCACGGTGTGACGAGGAAAGAGTAGCATGTTTGACTCCATCAACCTTGGAATGCAGCCGTGATTTTGGAATTTGGAAATGTTGTGAGTGATTGCAGCCCAGTACCACCCCCAACCCAACGGTGGGCCATGAATTATCAGATCTTTGGTGGCACTCATTTGGTGGGCTGATGCTCCACTCCCGCATAATGGAAAACTGGCTGAACATGTCATTTAACTTGGTTTGTTTGTTTTTTTCGTGCAGTGTGGCCACTTGGTGTTGCCATGGGTTCTTCTCCAGGCATGGTGAGATAGAGCACCAACTGCACAAGCAAGTCCTTGTGGATGAGTCGGGGCCCGTATTTTCCAACTTTGTTGCGCGCATGGGTCTGGAGAAAGAGGGGTCAGTAGCTACGACTTTACCATCATTTCATGGCCCAAATTCAGTTCCCTGAGCATACCTCCGCAACCAGCGAAGGAATTTGCAGCGCTTCCAGCAACGACTTTCCTCGCAGCTCGGCAGCCCAGCGACATTTTGAACCCATGATTGCAACTGCGACTTCCAGGTAGCAGGGAACGAAACTGCGAAGGATGTAGAAAGCGACGGCTGAAGTATGCCCAACTAGCCATTGCAAACCGGGTATATTTTGTCAAGAAACAGACAACGGAATTTTATGCGGAGCTTCGGCTTTTGTGCTTGAACCAAATCAAACATACCCCAAATTGCCCTATACTGGTAAAATGTGTGAAAGTGAGAGCATCCAGAACGAATGTTGTGTTGGAATTTCAGGATGCCGATGATCGTTCTCACTGGGTTGCTATGCCGATCTCACGGGTTTGCTACAAAATTTTCAACGCTTGGCAGAAAAAAAACACTATTTTTGAGCTCCTCGTATGAAGGAGAAGCCTGCTGATACAGGCGTTGGACATGGATGGATGGGTAGGCGTGGTAAATCCCAGCCACTTCCCATCCATTCTGTTGAACCCACTCCCGATTGCCCAACTGCTGTTTACTGTTGGGCTTGCGCGCTGCCATCTTTCATTTGGATTGAGAATGTGGATTAATTCTTCGGTTAATTATTGGATTCCCCCTTCCCCAACTTCCAGCCCCAAGGACGCATCACGGCCTCCAACACTTTGCTGAATCATCTCATCGACGTGTCTTGGAGGGGTGGGACATGGCTGGGGCTGGGCAGGCCGTGACAGAAGACAAAAAACTATACTTGAATCTTGGGCATTGTTGGAAAACGCAATGGCAGACCGTGACTAACCGTGATAAGGTCAGCGCTTACACCCCAAAAATTGTCGGAATTTATCGGGAATCAATCGGAAAATTATGAGTCGGAAATGCATGCAAAATCATTGTCAGACCGCAAATAGCATGGTCGGACGCCCTGAGAGCGCGCATACCCAAATGCATGCAAATAGTCCATACTTTGGATCCTCAGGGGTTAATTCATTAGCTAACGAATTAATTACTTAGTTAATTAACTAATTAATTAATTAATTAATTAACTAATTAATTAATTAACTAATTAATTAATTAGTTTTTGAACTAATTAATTAATTCATTAATTAAGTATTTCATTAATTAATTCATTAATTAATTAATTAACTAATTAATTAATGTATTACTGAAATGAATTAATTAATTAGTTAATTCATTAATTAACTAATTAATTAAGTAATGAATTAGTTAATTAATGAATTAATTAATTAAAAAACTACTTAATTAGTCAAAAATTCTGAAAAAACTGAAGCATGCTAAAAAATCATTGGAAAAATGTTGAAAAAATGCAAAATGCTGAAACAATGAAAAAATGCCGCCAAAAACTTGACCCAATACCGTGCCACCCAAACAATTACACGGATTCATCTGATTCAGAATTATTTTGGGAAAACTTGCCACAATACAGTATCCTCACACTAATCGAGGTACAACATTACCCTCCGGCAATCAAACGTGGCAAGTGGAAATCCACTAGAAATGGAGGTATCAATGGGAAAATCACCTATAAATAGCGTATTTTCCATTGCCATGTTTGATTGCAGGAGGGTAATTAGTGAAGGGTCACTATTCTTGAAAGTAATCAAGAGTGTGAGTCAGGCCACGTTTTTTGGATTTCTGGGTTACCATCACCATTCGTTTTGGTCAATACATCTCGCCTTTGAACAGAAGGAAATTAAGATGTTTTGTCCTTACATGGGCTACACTGCTACACCCTAAAAGTTTGAAATGACACATTGGGGAACATCACAATAAAGAGAAGAAACCTGATAAACCATGATAAAACCGATATAAACCCAATGCAATTGGACACATTTTGGCCCGACATGGTACCTATTTCACTGGGACTTTGCCGTCCCAAAACGTGCCGCCGCAGTTCTTGAGAGTCTATACGGCCCGTCGTCTCGTGGATTCCTTGGACGCCAAAAGCTCCGAAGAGATTTCCCGGAGCAGGGCCATAGAAGCTTGGACGCCATTATCCTTTCACTTGGGGAAAAATGCCCCGTAAATAATTTGGTTTACTGAATAATCATATGAAATAAAATGATATACACGCATACCGCATATATACTGCATAGATAATTATATATATATGTATGCATGTATATTTATATATATATATATTTAATCTTTATATATATTTAAATATTTATATGTATATATATATACACATATGTATTTATATATATATATACATATGTCAAATCAGGGGGCTGCGGTGTTTCAATTTCACTGGAAACTATGGTAAGGCCATGTGTATTTAGGTGGTGATTTTTGAAGCAGTTGGCTGAACACATTGTATGCTCCGCGCGGTCAATGGGCATTACCGATGTCCAAAATTGCAACACAGTAAATTTATACATAAGGTATTCTAAGTTTTTTTTAAATTCTTGGGGGAGATTCCCGCATTCCGCGCGGCATTCCCTTATGCAGTCCTTACATTGCCTTACATAGACCTTACATAGGTTTGGTCATCATACTCATCAATTTGATTCTCCAATTTAGTATCTTGAAATTTGCCCTGACTCTGGTACCTAAACTTGAGAGCGGGACGCTAGCATGATGGATGTTCATGGATTCTTCACTGCCATGCTTGCCTATTGAAGGATGAGGGCCTATGGTAATTTTGCGGTGGTCAGCCATGCAACGCACTGGGCAAATTTCATCATCACTTTGCACGTTGTTCCAGCTACTCCAGCTATGCTTTGGCCCATACAGATGGAGATGCCCAAAATGATTTTTGATCCATGTCCTGATGATGAGTTGTTGTTTCCTTCTGCTGATTGGCTATGACTCATGATCAGGCTGTATCACAGAGGTTGTTGATCAGAGTCAAAACCTCAGCCATTCTTTGTGAACTCATTTTGATTGATGACAGCGCCCTGTTCCTTGTCAAACCCAAATGAACTCCCCAATGCACGTTTTTAAGAGTGGCAATAAATTGAACGCCAAACTCGATGCCCATTTTTGGCGCGGCCTTTTTGAACACCTGTTCGCCGCGATTAGCACAGGCACTTACATCTTTGAAGACCGATTTGGAAGGGCCCAGGTGCAGCTGGCTCGTTGATGCTGGTTGGGATTGCCTGTGTATTTTATGTATCCATAGTTGTCCAGGTATGCCCTGATTAAAGATCGGTGAATGGCTACTTTTGTTGCTCGAATTGGGTCTATGTGAAATGCAGCTTAAGACTACCTAGGTTTCGCCGTGTCCATTATATCGTCCAGTCTGAAGCATGATCAAGCCGACTATGACGGGTTTAGTTTCGCCAGCGCCAGGAATATCTCCTGACTGCTCGGAGAGAACATCAGAGTCAGAACATCTTCCATTTTGTATGCATCTTCAGCACGCCCGAAGACAAGTGGTATGAATCTCAGTGGCAGAGAGATTGTGAATCTCACCATGAAGTGGTGTTCATCAAGCTCATTCTTGTATCATTTTGTATAATCTTGTATCAAACATGTTCTCATCTTGACTTGTATCAAACATGTAACATGTTCAAATACGGGGTGTAAACGCGCCTACCTTGCAGTGGTGCAGTAGCCAGAGCAACATCATCCACAGTGCCCATGCAGAGACTCATGATTGCATCGTTTATCCAGGCTTACATTGGGATATTAGCACGAGGTATTTCACTCACACTTGGATCCTTCAGTGTGACTTCTAAACTTCCGAACATCAAACCTTTTTTGTAAGGTTTCAAGGTTATCATTCCCGTTCTTAGATGCTTAAATCCTCATTAAATCCCACATTTTTAGCACTTCGGGATCTGCATGGACCTGTTTTTTCAAGAATAAGCGTCATTCCCCTTATTTTAGATGGTTAAATCAATGTTAAATCACCATTAAATCCACCATTCAATCGCACAACTCGGGATCTGCTTTCCGTCGGGGAGGACTGGTTCTCCCCGTTTTTCTTCCTTCTGATGGATGAGGCGCATCGGGTGGTGCAAGGCTACATGAACCGCCCAGGAATCCAGGACAGAGATCAGCCAGGGACCCAGCCAGGGATATAACCTCAAAAAACAATGTGGGAATTCATGGGAATTTCCCAATGTTGACGGTTTTGTTTTTTTTAATTGGATTTCATGAGATTTAGTGGGATTATGTGGGATTTTAATGGTATATATACATGGAATAGTCATCGGATATGCATGGGGTTTGATGGGATGAATGACCCAAATGACCAACGGATGTCCACAATTGTTTTTTAAACCACCAAAAGAATGTAAATTTAATAGGATTTATTCAACTTTTATTAAGAGAGAGGGAGAGAGATAGATAGATATATATATATGTAGTGATATTTAATTATATATATATAATTATATGTAATTATATTTAATTATATATATATATACATATTAATGGATTTAATGGGATATCAATGGGATATCAATGGGTTCAGGTATGTTTTGCTTATTTCAGATTGTGTTATGGCAGTCATGGCCCGTTTCGTTCGATGACCGATGAAAAAGGGGGTTGTCGCATAGCTATGTGAATTTGACAGATGGTATTATTGGGTCGGTGGGGGTACCCTCTGGTAATTTAACATAGCTATTGAAAATGACCATTTATAGTGGATTTACCCATTCATAGTTATGTTAGTTTACCAGAGGGTAAAACCATGTAAAACCAACAATAGTGAATATATCAATTCGTTAATATTCGTGGGATTTACTGGGATACATAGTCAACACTATGATATTTGGGTGTGTTTAAAGTATTTCTATTGGGAGAATGATGAGGAGTGGATAGAAAATTAGAGGTTCCCAGTTCCGAGGTTCAGTAGTTTCTGACAAAGCCGCTTGGTCACGCCCAGTCCAGGAAAGCAAAACCAGTCACCAAATAGTTTCCACTTGCTGAATGGTTTTTATATGTTAATGAACTTTCTTAGGGAAACTTGAGGTCGTATTCCTACAATTGCTGGTTCATATTCCATCATCACTCATCAAGGTAATGATATTGAATCCTTATCATATGCACAGACATAGATGCATTTACACAGAAAATGATTGCCTTAGTTGGGCAGTTTTTTTTTAAAACATTTCTCTTACCGATGCGATGCCGATGTCTAGTCAGATAGGTACCACACCAGCACGTAGCTGGCAGCAGGAGTTACGCCAAGCAGATGAACAATTCTACATTACCCTGGCTTTGCGCAACTTCAATCGTGGGCCTCCCTTGCTGCCATCGGATGAGCTTCATGATCCAATTGCTGTGCATTGAAAAGTGGGGGCATAGCTGGGGGGTAAAGCCCAAAAACAGTATTTACATTTTTTTTAATGGTTTTTTTACCATTCATATGATATACCACTTGGATGTTTTCTTCATCACTGGACCCACGTATCCTACAATTGCATTCAACTGCGTTTGTGTTTGTGTTACGTAAAGTGGAGGTCATGAAAGTGCACCCCAGGGAAAGCCAGCATGCATTGAGGAGGTCGCAGAACCTGTTCTTGGTGCAAGGAAACATTAAGCACCCATACCTTTTGGTAATTTGACGGCAGATAATTGGAAGATATCTTCTGTAGTAGATAAATCATCATAAATAATCTTTAATTTGGGCATGTTCTATACCAAAACGTCATCTATAATTTGGGCATTTTCTGTACCAAAAACACATTTTTCACAACCTTTTAGGGTATAGGGTTTGGAGATATCGGAGCCAACTGGATTCACCAGAATCCAGCTGATTCTCAACGCGACTCAATCGAAGCCATGCTGAAGACAGCTACAGGTAGGTGATTATCCAGGATGGCCATGATCGCGGCCTGTCCTGCTGGATGCCTTTTGAGCCTCGAAAGAAGTTCTGCTTTGCCGAGTACCTGCGGCAATTTCTAGTGCCGTGGCAGCCGTGGTCCTGGGTATTCCTGGGTTTTGCTCAAGACGATGAGTTGTTCTTTTACCATTGGAAATCCATCATTTGGGGTATCTCTCGGGTTTTTTGTCCTGTGTTTTTGGTGGCCCCTGGCCCCGCAAATCCATCGCCACAGTAAGGTGTCTACAGTTGCGTGGGTTTCATTGCCAGATTTCTGTCTGAGGGTAGCTCCTGCATGATCTTTGGCCACAAGAGATCAATAATCCCAATTTAGGGATCCTACATATGCTCCATTTATATACATTTGGGTGATGTTTGTGGTCAATGTTGGGAAATTTATGGACATATTTCATACATTGGAGCACATGTGAATCATGTCCTTAAAGGTCATATTAGCATATTCTCGTCAGGAACGACTGGGCCATCAAGTGCCCATCTATGACACCTTGGATGGCAAGACGCTGGTGCCTTACCAATGCGTCATGGTCAGAGCCTTGATAATTTGTTGGTCATCCGTGGTGAAACCAACAAGAATGGGGAGGTAGGAGTTAACAAAGAAAAATAGTAGTAGAATGATATATAGTATATTCAGATATATTCAGATATATTCAGATGGTTATGGTGACTCTCTTATAAACTTGATCATGGCCTCACCGCGTCACTGGAATGATGCGATAAAATTGCCTCCCCAAATGGCCCAACTTTCGACCTCGGCTGACCTCACCAGAAGTGAGTTCCATTAGCAGACCCCTAACTTATATCTGAACAGTATATCAACCTGACAATAAATACAACAACACATATTTTATTATATTTGTATAATATATACATATATAATTTATATCTAAATTATATATCATATATCTATAATTCTATAGGCTACGTTACAGCTTCGAATTTTGACTTTGCCTCAGCCACACAAATGGGGATTTGAGGAGAGTCTTGGATGGAGCTCCGAAGAGACGTGCTGGCGGCGCTGAAGTTGCAAAAGATGCTGGATGTTTTAACCAGAAAGTTTTACCCCCTGGTAAATTAACATAGACCCTGAAAATCACCAATTTTTAATGGAAACTAATCTCCCAACCCCTATCTGCCAGGGTCTATGTTAATTTACCAGAGGGTAACCAGAAATTGTCCAGACGTTCTGTGGGTAAAACAATGCCATAAACTCATATAAACTCCATTTGCACCACCCCATGGTTGATGGTAACCATACCACGTTTTTGAACATGCTCATTATTTGGGGATGGTTTATGGCATTGTTTTTAATTTACATAATTTACTGATAAATGTCCATAAGTGTAGTGGATAGTTTTAAAGTCCATGGATATAAGGATAGTAGATGGATGAAATCCTAGAGAATGTATATAGTGGAAACTAACAATCATATATAAATACAGTGGATGGTTGCACGCGAAATCCTTCTATCACCAGTTGATTTATCAGGGTTATCTGGTTATGTGATACTTAGGAGAACTCAACATGTTTCAACAATCCTTTTGCTGCAGGATTTGCTCTTCCATCCACAGTAGTGTTGGTTGAATGGATCGTGTTGGTTGAACTATACCTCTGTAGCGTTCCTATGACTTGTTTGTTGGTTGATTTGGTTGCCCAAACATGGTGTTCTGTTAGTTCGATCAATTTTTCAACATGGTTATATATATATATATACCCAACTTGGTTATGACTAACAGTTCGCCATGGTATAGATGGCCCATAGAAATAGATGATTTTCCCAGCTATAAACCTCCATTGATAAGGGATTTTCCATGGCTATCACTGACATTGTCATACTTAAATGTCGTTGATCATCTCGCCATTTTAAGGGTTAAATTCATTTCAATTCCATGTTTGGTGTCTGAAGATCCTATCCCACTTTGTGGTGAATGACTCTAGATAGTAAGTTCATGTAAGTTCCCTAAGTGGATTTTATATATTTTTTTGATTTGATATGATTTTATAACATAGTATCCGAATCCATACATGGGATAGAGCTGTGGTCACCACTTGGCGTAGGGTAAACTTACGCCACGTCAGGATGGCGTATCGCTTTCGGCACGGCGGCACCACTGCCCCAAGCTTGGTGGAAGATGTTTGTCCCCGCAAGCTGCCGGCAATTTGAAAATGGGAACGAAGAAAACAAAGGGGATGACAAGGGCATATGATGTGGGTAAAACAATCATAAACCATCCTCAATTTCACCACAAATAGGTGGTATAAATAATAACAATAATGAAAATAATGGATAATAATGGCCTAATATAGGGCACAGCCCGGGTATTTCAGAATGCGTGTACTTATAACAAAACAATATAAATATAATAGTAAACCACGTGATGATAACAAAACACAAGTAATTGGGCATCACCATTTCAACGTGACAAGGCAAACACCATAAACACCATACACTAAAGACCAAACATGTGTGTAAAGAAAGGTCCCCAAAATAGGAACAAATTCACTGGGTTTGCCACGTTATCAGGATCACGACTATTGCTGGCCCTCTGGACAATCAAAGGGCATGAATGACGTTGACATTGAGTGTAATGAAGAGCTACGAGACAGCTATGTGGTACAAAGCAAATCCTGGGAAGGCCATTGTTTGATTTGAAGCAGCACATAGCCATTGAAAATCGATTGTGGCAACGGAATCCATAGAGCATCTCCCTTCCATCACCATAATTCACCATTTGTGATTGCCACGTTTGCTAGGTTTTACCCAAACGATTATCCCATTCCGATAATCCCGTTGATTCCCGTTGTATATACCATTATATCGCATCAGTTCTTGTTTGTTGGTTATATCTCTCATTCCCAACCACTTATATTCCATTTATTTATATATACATCACTTGCCCATGAATCTGGAATAGATCCCATATATCCTCATTATAACCCCACGTAAGTATATTATCCGTTGATCTAATATGTCCCCATGATATATGATATCCCTCATCAACCCTCCAGAAGCGCAACAAAACTAGACGACGGTTGGCCCGAGAGCGAAAAAGATGTTTTTCAAGCAGCTCTGAGGATGGTAGTCGTAAAAGATAGTCGGTGAATAGTTGGTGAATTTTATATGAGCTATGGAAAGATATGGTGTGAAAAAGTAAGATTGATCAAGAAGAGAATATTTGGTAAAGGGCATCAGATGACATGTGTCTTGCAACCACAGAGAGAAAGAGGGGGCAGAGATAAAGAGAGAGAGGGAGAGAGAAAGAGAGAGAGAGAGAGAGAGAAAGAGAAAGCAAGAGAGAGAGAGAGAGAGAGAGAGAATGAAAGGGGGGGTAGAAAGAAAACATGGAGAAATGTAATGTGAGCAACAAAAGTGCACAGGAGGCTCAGTACCATGAGTCTGCGAATGACATGTGCTATCTCATTTTATTATGGTAATTCCCACACACATTGCGGAAAAAGGCTCGGCACCATCATTCCGTGAACGCGAAGAAACGCGACGCTTTTATACAGAGACGCTTTTACACACAGAATCTTTTACACATAAACACTTTTACACACAGACGCTTTCACACAGAGACGTTTTTCATGCACACACACACAGACGCATTTCCACACAGAGACTTTTACACGAAAACACTTTAACACACAGACGCTTTTATAAACAGACTCTTTTACACACATACGCTTTTACATGCAGATGCCTTTTTGCAGACGCACACACACTTTCACACACAAACGCTTTTACACACAGACGCTTTTGCACACAAACACAGACGCTTTTCCACACAGACCCTTCTACACACAGACGCTTTTACACACAAACACTTTTACACACATACGCTTTTACACACGGACGCTTTTACACGCAAACACTTTTACATACAGGCGCTTTTACACACAGACGCTTTTACACTCAGACACTTTTACACACAGACGCTTTTCCACACAGACCCTTTTACACACAGACGCTTCCACAGAGACTTTTACACAGAGACGCTCACAAAGCGCGGCACCACTGGGTGACCTCAGTTGCAAACAAAGGTGCGCAAACATAGTTGCAATGGAAATGCTCAAAAATCGCAAAAGTGCACAAGACCAGGCTCAGTACCATGATCAACGCACAATCCAATGCAAGGCATCCGCTCTTTGAGATACAAAATAAGCTCGGCACCATGATGCCGTGGATGACCTCAGTTGCAAACACAGGTGGGCAAACATAGTCGCAATGGAAACGCTAAAAAATGCAAAAGTACACAAACAAAGGCTCCGTACCATGGCATCCAAGAGAATCTAGAAGTCCGTGCAAGAATGCTGTGAATGATTCCACAATAGCAAGTTCGATATCATGATGGCAAGGATGACACCTGTTTCACTGCATTTCTCCGATGTCCCTACAGGATGGAAAAAAAAATCTTTACAGGCAAACAACAGTTGGCTACTGGTTTTGCATGTTCGTCACGAACAGTCTCTCCAGACGAACACTGCTACAGATGCCAGTTGCACTCAGTTCCATGTGCCACTCGGTACGCAAGCCTTCCAGCTCCCACAAGCTGCTTCCAAGCAAAGGTCGGTACCATGATGCTGCAGATGTGGCATGTTTGCCGCTTTTACTACTGCAGCAATCCGGCTACTGCGGTCGATCTTTATCTGGGCACCTCCACGGACACGACCTAAGTTCCAGCATCTCTGTGAACGCAGAAAGATCTTCCAGCCAGTCAGCAGGATGCTCATACTCGAGATTCACAACGCAGTCGTTGCAGTGCCCGCAGATGTAACATCTCTCGGCTGCCATTGTCCTCCAAACATGTTCTATGCTTCTGACTGTTTTTTTGATATATTTCATATGATGATGACGAAAGTGTGGTATTGTCACGGTCATGACCTTTGCCCAGCCAGCAGAGACTTGCTGAGATGTCCAGCTATCGTCTGACTCGTTTGGATCGCCGGGTTCTTGGTTGGCACCACAGCAAATACAGATGGTGGTGTCTGCCTCCTTCCAATGACACATTTTCTTCAAAACAACCGGCCAACCAGCTTTTACCAGATAGTGTCCGGTTTCTGGTTGCAAAGAATATTTTGGAGCCAATTCAGAGCTCCCAGGCACAAATGAAAGAATGTGTCGTAGAATTTGGTCATCAAAGACATCCGCCCTTGCACGGATTCCCTCCACATTCGCTGCCCTGGCAGAACACACTTACATCCCCAAATACTTTATGCGACACGTTTGTGCACCAAAATTTTGTTTGTTGTTAACTGCTGTCATGTCCAACGATGTGGGCGCTGCCGCCGAGTATCTTTCAACACCAAGACCAAGACCCATAATCGGTTGGCATCATCTCTTGCTTCTTCATTTGAAAACAGAATGTAATACAGTGTGAAATCGAGCATGAGCTCATGCATCCAAGCTAGTGGCAAATGGCCCCAGAAATGGCGGCCCATTTCCGGAGGGCCGTTCATGTGCACTTGATCGTAGATGTACAATTCTCTCGAACCGGCGTCCTTCCAGTCATGAATAGATACCAACAGCGCATCGTTCAAATCAACTGAATTTGTTTGAAACGAAGTATATTGCAATCTCCCCGCAGCTGCAAAGCAATCGGCTGCCAGGCGCGACATGCTGTTAGTACAGGCTACAGAAGTATTAATTGAAAGCGCCAGGTTTCGATATGTCCACTACAGCTTCACCTACAAACATCACATCTCTTGTGGCGAAACGCATCTTGTCCATTCGTTCACATCTGAGCCAAGGAATGTACAACGCACAATCCAATGCGAAGCATCTGCTCTTTCATTTCGAAACTGAAAACACGACTCCTGAGTTTGACATACCAAATAAGCTCGGTATCATGATGCCGTGAATGACCTCAGTTGCAAACAAAGGTGCGCAAACGTAGTTGCAATGGAAATGCTTAAAAATTGCAAAAGTGCACAAACAAAGGCTCAGTATTATGGTATCCAAAAAACAACAAGTGAACGCAGTGAATGATTCCACAAAAACAAGTTCGATATCATGATGGCATGGATGACACCTGTTTCACTGCATTTCTCCGACGTCCCTACAGGATCGAACAATCTTTACAGACAAACAACACTTGGCTACTGATTTAGCACTTTCGCCACGAACAGTTTCTCCAGGCGAACAGTGGTGCAAATTAATTTGTGAACGCAGTGAATTTGTGTCGCATAGACATGCAAACTGAACAGTGAAGTTCACTATGAACATCTCAATTCCCACACAGATTGTCACACCAAACGAACCAAGCTCCGCACGTCCTAGCACGGATACACTAGCAAGCATTTTCACCCTCAATCTCTAACAGTTCCATGTCGTGCGGTAAAAGTACACACAAAATCTTTTACACACAAACGCTTTTACACATGATGCTTTTACACAAACACACTTTGACACACAGACGCTTTGACACACAAAAGCCTTTACACACAAACGCTTTTACACACAGACGCTTTTACACACAAAAGCTTTTACACACAGACGATTTTACACACAGACGCTTCTACACGCAGACGCTTTTACACGCAGATGCGTTTTACACACGCACACACGCTTTCACACACAAACGCTTTTACACACAGACGCGTTGACACACAGACGCTTTTACACACAGACGCTTTTACACACAGACGCTTTTACACACAGACAATTTTTTTTTACGCAAAAGCTTTTACACACAGACGGTTTTACACACAGACGCTTCTACACGCAGACGCTTTTACACGCAGATGCGTTTTACACACGCACACACGCTTTCACACACAAACGCTTTTACACACGCAGACACGCTTTCACACACAATCGCTTTTACACACAGACGCCTTTACACACAGACATTGTTACACAAACGAAAGCGTCCATCGCAATTTTTCCTCAGTTTTTGACGTCCAAGGTCCATTTCGTGCAAAAGGGTTACGATTAACTAAGTAAAATCGCAATTTTTCCTCAGTTTTTGACGTCCAACGTCCATTTCGTGCGAAAGGGTTACGATTGACCAAGTAAAATCGCAATTTTTCCTCAATTTTTGACGTCCAACGTCCATTTCGTGCGAAAGGGTTACGATTGACCAAGTAAAATCGCAATTTTTCCTCAATTTTTGACGTCCAACGTCCATTTCGTGTGTAAGGGTTACGATTGACAACTCAAAGTCGCAATTTTTCCTCAGTTTTTGACGTCCAACGTCCATTTCGTGCGAAAGGGTTGCGCGCGACCAATAAAAGTTGCAATTTTTCCTCAGTTTTTGACGTCCAACGTCCATTTCGTGCGAAAGGGTTGCGCGCGACCAATAAAAGTTGCAATTTTTCTTCAGTTTTTGACGTCCAACGTCCATTTCGTGCGAAAGGGTTGCGCGCGACCCATAAAAGTCGCAATTTTTCCTCAGTTTTTAACGTCCAACGTCCATTTCGTGCGAAAGGGTTGCGCGCGACCAATAAAAGTCGCAATTTTTCCTCAGTTTTTGACGTCCAACGTCCATTTCGTGCGAAAAGGTTGCGCGCGACCAATAAAAGTTGCAATTTTTCCCCAATTTTTGACGTCCAACGTCCATTTCGTGCGAAAGGGTTGCCGGGGACGCTTCAAAATCGCAATTTTACTTAGGTTTTGGACGTCCAACGTGCATTTCGTGCGAAAGGGTTGCGTTTCGTGGCGCTCCGGCGGCACCGCCCCCGCCTTAAGAGAGAATAGAAGAAGAGCGAGAGGAGATCTGCAGATGTGAAGGTGTGAAGATCTAGATCTGCAGGTGTGAGGGTGTGATGACGTAGATCTGCAGATGTGAGGGCGTGAAGATCTAGATCTGCAGGTGTGAGGATGTGAAGATCTAGATCTGCAGGTGTGAGGGTGCGAAGATCTAGATCTGCAGGTGTGAGGGTGCGAAGATCTAGATCTGCAGATGTGAGGGTGTGAAGATGTAGATCTGCAGATGTGAGGGTGTGAAGATCTAGATCTGCAGGTGTGAAGGTGCGAAGATCTAGATCTGCAGGTGTGAGGGTGCGAAGATGTAGATCAGCAGATGTGAGGGTGTGAAGATGTAGATCTGCAGATGTGAAGGTGTGAAGATGTAGATCTGCAGGTGTGAAGGTGTGAAGATCTAGATCTGCAGGTGTCAGGGGGTGTGAAGATGTAGATCAGCAGATGTGAGGGTGTGAAGATGTAGATCTGCAGATGTGAAGGTGTGAAGATGTAGATCTGCAGGTGTGAAGATGTGAAGATGTAGATCAGCAGATGTGAAGGTGTGAAGATCTAGATCTGCAGGTGTGAAGGTGTGAAGATCTAGATCTGCAGGTATGAGGGTGTGAAGATGTAGATCAGCAGATGTGAAGGTGTGAAGATCTAGATCAGCAGATGTGAAGATGTGAAGATGTAGTATAACGGCTGCTTTTTTATGAAGAACCCTTCGCAGGCGCCCTCGGGAAAAAACATGTTTTCTCCTGGACTCCTATTGTTGATTAACATATCCCATGAGGTTATCAACAACAACTTCGGTATGTAATGTAACTGCATATATATATATATCTATATATATATATATACATTTCAATATATACATATTCCATCAATACTTCAATCATACTTACTGTATATATTCATATATCCTATGAGTACTCTTTTCATAGTCGTACCCCATGTGGTATACAGTATATATTTATATAATATATTTATACATTTTATATCCATATGAGCCACGTCCAAAAGCCAGTAGTTCATTTTCAGCAAGGGATTGGCAATAAGGACCTCGCGTAAGCAAAACCCTGGTGTAAGCAGCGCGTAAGCTGCCGCGTAAGCATTCCCTTAGCGCCTCCAGAAAGACAAGACCTTTTGGCCATGGCTTAATACGTCCGTGTATGTATATATATATATATATTATAATTATATGTATATATAATTATATATATATATATACATATATGACCTCGTAAAACTTGGCTTTGTAATTTTGATGATTAGGACCTACTGTTACTTGATAGGGACCTACTTTTACTATCTTTTACTTGGACCTTGTGGGTGGCATGGTGTTTTCAACCAGCTTCGATCAATTTTTTGATTGGTTTTTGTCAGTATTTTGATGGCTCTGAGTTGTATTATGAAGTCATGTCTCGTGATTTATGATATATCATGTGTATATGATTATATATGACAGCTTTACATGCGGGCAATTTTCCCCAATAATCATGAAGGAGATAACTTAAATTTCAGGATAAGTACTTCCCTTTACCTACCAAATATCCGATTTGTGGTTTATTATTGGGTACCCCGCACTATTTTATTATTGGAAATCCAGGGCCGGAACCACCACGAACGCATGGCATATGAATTGTCAGGGGCCCAATATTGCTAGCGTGAACCGAGCGTGAACCGAGCGTGAACGGACCCTCTAAAGACCTACTATTACTGGCGAAAGACCTACTACTATTACCGTGAACCGAGCGTGAACCGAGCGTGAAACCTTATAATAGGAAACATTATAACATTTTTTGAGGGAAACCGCAACGAATTTGCTTTGCAAAAGCTCCGGAATGTCAGTCTTAGTGGCTTTTCATTCCCATTAGGGGCTGTGATCTGAAGGTGATTGAAAAATGTTGCTTTCCAATGATGCAGCAGCAGTTTCAAATGGGGTTCAAGTCAAATTCAGCATTGAACCGATATAGTTTTCGGTCGTCATTTGTGGCTCTGATACCATAAAAAAATTGGGGGCGCATGGGGGCGCAATGACAACCAATGTGGAAAAAAAATGGCGACGATGAACGTGAGGAGAAAAATGGCTGAGCTCTATCGAACCGAGGTAAACCAAAGGTCCTCGTAAAACTTGGTCTTTAGCCAAAGACCTCGTTAAACTTGACCTTCGGACTTGCAGGATTTATATATATATATACATACATATTAATAAATAAATAAATAAATATATATATATACCCAGGGAGTCAAAGTCTAGTCAAAGTCTCGCCTTTACATGGAGGGGAAACTTTGCCGTGACAGGCCGAACTTTGGCATTTGCAGGATCATAGGCATCAGGCCCCTGAACGTTCAGTACATGGACGTATCTAATACACATCTATCTATCTGTCTGTCTGTCTGTCTGTTTGTTTGTCTGTGTGTCTGTCTATCTCTATCCTAAACTGCCACGCTCTCTCATTTAATATACAATATACACTGTCTCCTGGTTCATCTTATACCAAGACGTTGGAGACCCCAGGCGTAACGCCCGAGAGAGCGACGTCTCCATCGGTGCCATCGCATGGATGCCATGGCGACGGAATCTGCGAGCGGCCTATTGTGGCGAAGGTGGAGCGAAGAAGAGGAAACCAGGGCCAGACCTAGGAATGTTTAAACACCAAAAAATGGTGATTTATGGGATTGTCCGTGGGGTTTTTAACCACCAAAGACTGGATAAATGATGGATTTCATTGGATATGACTGGGGTGTAATGATGGTTATTGGTCCAGTTATTAGTTCTTAAATTGTTTGATTGGCTTTTGATGGGTTTATTGGTTTTTGGTTTCGATGTGGGTGGGGGCAGTGTTGTAAACCTGATTTTTGTTTCGATATTTTACATTAAGAAAAACAAACTGTAGATGGTGGGCTTGATCATGTTTGAAAGATGTTGTTCACTATTGATATTGAACAGCAATATTTTTGAGAGAGGTGCTCCCAGCGAGCAACTTCTGGAACAATATATCCCAGCGAATTCCCTGACAACCGTTCCAGTATTTTTAGAGGTGCGGGGCACAAGTCGGCAATTGAATCCAAGGCTTATATCGTTATACTCCATTATATCCCAGCATGTAAAGTAATTATAGTATATAATAAGCTGTAACATGTAAGACATAATAAGATATAATATAACATACACTGCATATTCATGCATATGCCTCTAACAGGAAAACAATGCCCGTTGTTAACCATGGGAACCCCCGGTTGCCAATCAGCTCGTTTCAGGTGGTGGTGCGCAACACCTTCTTAGAACTGGAAGATGATGTTTTTTGGTCGACGAATCGCTCCGCCGTTTTTGTTTCCCGTGAGACCATGGAAGAAAGGGACAGAAGATAAATTGATAACAAGTTACAGACATCAAGAGAGAGAGAGAGACAGAGACAAAAAACAAGTGCTAAATCAGGGTTTCTGCGGGGTGGTTGTTAGGGAGAAGGGGTGATGAGTGATGAGATTTCAATGTAGGAATTACAAATTCAACCAATAAGTAGAAGCTGATCCTTTGTTCAGCATTCCACATCCTTCCACCAGACCTGCAGGTGACACTGTTAGATCTGAGAAATCCTTGCAGCTAAGGGTGAAGATCACACCTGGGCTATCAGTCTGAATTTAGGATCCCTTTTTTGGTTGGAAAGCTCCGGAGTCCGATTTCCGTGAGTGTGATCCGAAATGATACGACGACGTGACGACGTCAGGTTCCCTCCCAACTCATCGAGAATTTGCCTTCCAGTTTGTCCTTAAAAAGGAGCAAAAGTGCCAGTGGCGAAACTTGGTGGAGATTGCTGGTGGATTGCTGAGGATTCCATCCCTGCTTGGTATTGTGTAATATTGCGTGTGTGTATACATATAAATACAAATAAATATATTATATATATATTATATATATAATATATAATATATATATATTTATATATGTATAAATAATTATGTATATATATATATATATATGTATTTATGTATAAATAATTATGTATATATATATATATGTATATGTATGTGTGTATATTGTATATACACCTCCGTGTGTGTGTGTGCGCGTGTCATGATGCATAAACAAACATTTAAATGCATTTGCACCTAAGAACCAAAATGAGCCTTGTTGTGGAGGATTTGACCTGTAAAATGAGGGTTTACGTTCCACGGGTCCATGTGTGGCAATGTGTATTTATATATATATAGCATATACACATGCAAGCGCACATGTGTGAAAATAAATAAATATATATATATATATTATATGTAAAATAATATATATATGTATACATATATATATTTATTTATTTTATACAACATAATATATAATTTATATTTATGTATATTATGCACGCAAACCTGAACTTGTGGCGGGTTGCACTTGTGTTTGATGCAGTCTCGACAGCTGTCACTACCTGCCATCTGCGCCAGCTAGGACATCCTGAACTTGAGTGTACAGTGCTGCCCCCTGAAAGCACTATGCATAGCATCGTTGGTGGAGGGCCGGTGCGTAGATGTATGTGCAGGGGTGTATTTCTAGTTGATTCGTACTGTGCTCAATACAGGGCTTAAAGAACAAGTGCACAGTATACCACCCACGCCAGGTGTGTATATCATGTGTGTGTGTGTGGGGCAATGCGTGGCGAGATGTTTCAGTATGTTTCAACTGTTTCAACATCTAATATAACTGTTGATGGTTTAATTGCTGTTTGATATTTCTCAATAGTGTTTTGCATGTTCGCATGCATGATTTTGCATGGCACATGGATTACACATGGATTACGCATGGATTACAGATGGATTACGCAGGTGAGAAAGGCTGGAATTTGGATTTGGTTAGGGTGATTCGGTTCAAGCACTATACTCGCAGGGAGATATCCTCTTAGAGTGAACCCACGACTGCCAACTCTGCCAGCTCCGCTCAAGCCACTTGCAACTGCCACAAGGGCTGCCCCATGTTTCATGCCGCAAGTGTCCCTGTACGATGTGCTGCTGGTGGACCAACATGCAACTGTGAATGAGATAAAGCTGGCTTTCAAAAAGCGCGCGCTGCAAGTTCACCCAGACAAAGGAGGCAGCAAGGAGGCCTTCCATTTGGTCTACGAAGCCCTTGAGACCTTAGCTGACCCAGAGGCACGTCAGAAGTATGACAACGGTATGGCCAACAAATCAACTGATGTACTTCCAGAGAAGAGCACCAGATATAAGAAGACTTCGAAGACATGTGCCCATCCTACCACGCAGAAAGAAGCACGTCCAGAGAAAGGTCAAAAGCCCCGGAACAAACGAAGAGCTGATGGAAGCAATATGGAAACGAAACCAGCAGAACCCCAAACGCCTCAGTCCAGGCAAACCAAGCTGTTAATCAAGATTCACGATATTTTGAAGCAGTTACCCCGAGATGTGCGAAGTGATGTGATCACCAAGCAGTTCTCTCAGAAGCAGCGACTGATTCTGGAGAACTGGATGGTTGACATGTCAGGGGCGGGTCGAGAGGAACCCTTAGCTGTGGAAGGTCAGGCAGCTGTTCAGACCCTCCATCCAACTCTGCCAGATGGGCGGCCTTGCGCGGTCGCATTGCCAGTTTCAAGCGCCAGCTGCCCGAAAGAGTTGAAGAAGCGGTCCGCCAAGCCAAAGAGAAATACGAAGAAAGAGCCCAGAACAAAGCGAAGCACGGGTGGCTTCCTCATAAAGAAAAGTGGGTCTTCTTACACTGCAGGAATTTGCTTTGATGCAATTTTGATACACACCAAAAGCTGTGACTTCAAGACTGGTCTCGAGTACTTGGTCGTCCTGACTGCTGTGAAGCAGAAGATGCGAGATCCCCAAAGAATGGATGTCTCCTTTGAGGAACGTCTTCAAGACGCATTGGTTCTATCAGCAGAAGAACATGGGGAGGATCTAGCAGAGCTTAAACTTCGATTTTTAGTGATCCAAGCAGCTGGATTCTTCATTGGAGCACAATTGCAAACCCCAGAGGTAAGGAGTGTGGAGCAACTTGGGAAAATGCGCAGACTATTGGCTCCTTTTCGCCAATATGCAAATATCCCCGGCAGGGTCAACTATTTTTGGCAGTACAGCCCAGTCAATCTCCAACATGCGTGGGAGCGGTTTCAGAAAGCAGTTGCTGAAGCGTGGAAACTTGGAGGGAGAGACAGCAGTGGTGTTTTGCAGATGATGCATGTTCGTCACCAGGCTAGAACTGATTTCCGAGATGCCAAGTTGCAACAGTGGGAACGAGGTCACATGGCGATGCAAGACAAGAACAAACACAGGCCCTTTCATTTGCGAAAAAGGAATGGAGCTGCAGCCCTAGAGCATTGGGAACGGCGACAGATGGCCTTGCAAGACAAGAATCAACATAGGCCCAGGAAATTGCAAGTTCATTTATGTTTGAGACGCTCCTCTGACACTCGTTCCCGCAAATTGTTGGCATTGAAACGGCTTCTAGTTACATGGGACCGCATCCTGAAAAGAGAAGCACAGCTACTCGAGAAAAAACAACGTCGAGTCCTGAAACAGAGGAAGGTGCAATGGAAGAAGGACCGAGAGGAACAAAGACGACAGGAAGCCCTGCACCGGAAGCGTATGCGAGAAGAGGAACGCTTCAGAAGAGAAGCTGTTCGCAAGAGAATGAGATCCGATCTCACCATGGACGAAATTCTCGGCGAACGCCGTGAACGCCGTGTCTGATTAGGAGAAAAGGAGAGGGTGTTGGGGTGTGGATCCTATGGCCAACAACACATAACCATAGGAACGGGAGAATCGGGAGAGAATGCCATCAAAGTCTTTGAAAAGAACGGATTGTACATAGTATAGTTGCCATCTTCGTAGGTTGGTTTAATTTTTGCTTTCCATAGCGAGGTTCAAAATTCACAATAGGATCTTGGGATATTGTCAGAGTACCCACGAAACAGGTGTAGCAAAAAGTCACATGATGTCACATGCCTATTCAATCTTATGCTGATCAATTTTAGTTTCTATTCTGAGGGTCTAGGGATGTTGGCATTGATGGGGGTTATGCACCAAGATTGTTTTTTTTCAAGGGAGAAATCTGGAGAGGAATTAACTTGGAATGTACCAATATCATCCAATATCGTCATTTAAGCCAGTAGTGGCTTGACAGTTCAGGTGCTTTGATGTATCTCTTGCACCTTCCATGCTTAGTTTGGAAATTGGTTTACAGCTTTGCGAGGCCTGCGATATCCTGCATCCACCAATCCGACCAATGTTCTATTTTACTTGTCAACACATTTACTGCAATACTGCAGTTATAGGATATTGATGTTTGCCCCCTTCACCATATTTGTTTCGCCAGATATTGTCAGCTATAGTGGTTCTTGCTTCTCAATGAATGGGATCCTGATTTTCAAGAATTGGATCATTTCAAATTTGTCGTTGCTTCCCTTCATTATATAACGGGAAGACTGACACAAAGATGTGTTGGTTGCTATTTAGAGTCCATGCATGTCCATGCTGGTGATTCCTAAACAGACCAACAGCAAACATACTTTTGAAACAGAAACAAGGTAAACAAAAAAGCACTATCCCATCCCTCAGTGCCCCAAGCTCTCCTTCTCAATCAGTCACCGGTGTACGGCCTGCAGTGCAGGTAAAGATTCAGTCTGAGCTGCCCGCGGCTCACTTCCATTCGGATCGCAAAAAGGGACCTGGAGTAAACCAGCTCCGAGCGGCTCTGAAGAAAAGGTGATTTGACGTTTGAACCTCTCTGGCAGTCTAAACATGAATTTCATAATCTTGATGATGTGTACCACTAGCAAGATATAGCTGCTTTGGTTCGGCATCTTTCAAAGAATATGTGAATGATCTTGAGTCTTCCAGCCTTGCCTGGAGAGCTGCCGTACAGTCTGTACAGTCGCCCAGCGTGGTTCCTTGGGCCATTCCTCCAGCGTAGGATGACAAAGCCTTGGAGGAGTGAAGCTTCATGCTGAGCTGTCTTTATTGCATGTTAGTTTTCTGTGGCAGTTTTATTCCGTGGAAAAGAAATGACTGGGGGGCGTGCATGTCACCTAAGATCAATGTGTCGGTAGTTTCAAACCTATTTTTTTTGGTAGTGTCCAGTTCACCTTTTGCAGTGTCCAAATGTCAATGTGAAAAACATCATATCATAATAGGATATAATAGGCTAATACCGGTGGCTTGAAATCAATTGAACTAAACGTAGAATTCGCCCAGAATTCCCAGAGTTTTTCCCCAATCATCCACTGATCCAACTAAATCAGTGTCCATCATCCCTATCATCCCCTGTTTTACTTTAGATGTATGTTCAGAAGAGCAAACAACAACCCGTCTTTCATCCCACTATATCATAATATAAATATATCATGATATATTGTAATATATCCCAACATAAAAATATATCCAGCTATATCATATATATACATATGTGTATGTATGTATGCATATATATATATATATGTATGTATATATATATATATATACATTATATATCACAATAGATCATAATATATCCAAATCATCCATCCAGTTCTCAGGACATGAACGGCATCTCCCTGAGTTTGCTGCCCTACAGCAGCCAGCTGGCCCCTTGGATTCAGGCGCCCGTGGCGTGCAGCGCCTGGCCCAAGGCGGTGGCACCGCAGTTCCCGGAGCTGGCACCGGTGAAGGTGAAGGTCCGGAGAAGGGCTGGGCTGGGAAAAGGTTTGTGATATTTAATGATAGTGATATTATAATAGTGATTTTATTTTAACCATTAATCCTTTTATTCATCACCAATAGATATATACCTGGTTGGTGGTTTCAAACATGTTTTATTTTCCATAATATATGGGATAATCATGGATAATCCATGATAATCCTTCCCATTGACGAACTCATATTTTTCAAGGTGGTTAAAACCACCAACCAGATATGAAAAACCAGCATGCCAGAGCTTTGCCACTTGAAGTGTTCCTGCTGTAAACTGTCTGATTGGACGCGTATTCCGAGATATTCCGAGTTTGTTCGGGGCTTGTACAATACGAGAACACCGCATGCCAGAGATCTAGCAGCCAACGTCAGGGGGTTTAGAGGTTGAAAGGCCGAAGGTCAGCAAGACATGTGGATACAACAGTTAATACAACATGTGGATTTATTTGGATCTTTGATGATTTATGATGGTTTATGATAATTTATGATAATTTGTGATTTTACCAACTTACCAAGAGTTTGGTGTTGGGAGGCGGTTTCGCCCAAGAGAAAAGCGGATGTTTGCCGGTAGAAATTCAGATTTTTGAGCTACACGAATCGCAATTTAGGAGTGAACGAAGGAAACTTAACCAACATAAACTAATATAAAATAATATAAACTACTGATATGCTTAAACCAGCAAGCAGGTTAGCACAAACAGGGGGTTTAACTAATATAAAAAGGAATTTGATTAAGGAGAAAAACTCCTGCATGGATGATAATGTTTTGCCCACCAGGACCAGGACACCCACATGTTTTACCACTAGTCGTACCATTCAAAAACATTGGTTTCCTGGACACGCAGGGACACTGCCAGATGATTTATAATATGTTATAATTCATAAGTTATAAGCATGTTTAAGCGGCAACTGTTTCTTTGTTTGAAGCAAGACCAGTTGGAGATTTCAGGCAACATGATGATACTCCACTCAACATGATACAGGAATACTCCACTCCTTGTGAGCATCCCAGACCTCAGTTTTGTGATCACCAATTTGGGACTGGCATCATAGGCAGCGATATCCAAGCCAGGATCTAATCTAAACGGTGTTGCTGTCTTCGAAAAATGTGGAGATTCCTTGGTCCATGTGTGCCATGCGTTTATCTATCTATATATATATATTTCATATATTTCATACATTATATTTGACATGGTATGATCCATTCTGGTAGATGTTCCCGGAGAAAACAAAAACTTTCTTTCTGGCCATTTGACATTGGCACCAATTCTTGTATCTATCGCCTTCGCCGCGCCAGGACTGCTTCGAGGGAGTGTCACCCTCCAGCGATGAAAACGTCAAAGGGATTCTAGAAAAGGCTTGCAAGGCTCTCATTGAAGCCAAGGCGGAGCATCTCGCTTTAGTGTTTAATGGGATAGGTTGCTAGGTTTTACCGTTTTGCCAGCAATCATGGCGAAACATTTTATGGTCAATCAATGGTTAATCATGTGGGTGCCATGAATATTGGATGACTCATGGATAATCAGCCACTGGTTGGTTGATGATAAAAGGGTAAGTTGTTTTTCCAAAAGGACACTATTGATTTGGACCATTTTGGACCGGTCTTCGGTGTTTGTTGTGTTAAAAAATAGTTGACTTAGTTGACGATTCAGGGTGTTTTTTTTGGAGGTGGTTCAGGGTGAGATTAAGCAATATTTGATCACTCGTATAGTATTTTTTGTCAGCCCTGCTGGCTGACAACAAAGAAGTAGTAGGGGGGTTAGCCCACCAAAGTGGTTTCATTCCATCTAAACGGTCCATATGAATATCTTACAACATATTTGGTGAATACATGACATAGTCATCAAATCATCAAAGCTAAAAGTTGATAAATCCCAGGTTCAGATTTCCCAAAATGGGGATACCCTAAACCATCATCAATCATCTTATAGATGGAATTTCCATTATAAACTATCCAGCTATTGGGGGACCCCATTGATGGAAACCCCCATATGCTCCAAACAATCGCACATTACTAATCGCCATGGCCCCCTGGGCTCGTTCGTTTTTTTTTGTGGAGATCCCCTGGGAGTGTCCAAGGCTAGATCGCTTGGACAGCAAGGTGGGGGATGCAGATTGCGGCTCCACCATGGCCAAGGCGCAGAACATCATGGGTTTCAATCGGGATAGAGCTTAGTAATCCCCATTATTACCATCAATTACCGATAGTGATTAATAGTCATTAATGGTGTTTAATGGTGATTAATAGTGATTAATAGAATAGTGATTAATGTGGGTAGTTAAAACAATAAATTACCCATGACTGGGAATTGTTATTTATACCACCTATATAAATGGTGATGACCGGGGAATGTTTTTTGTTTTATTGTTTCACCCACATCATTATCATTGAATTTCTTTGATACGTAACATGTATCCATAAAATTCCACGCATCTATTGAAAAATACAAGATCTATAATATAATTAATGATGTCTAATGAGTAGTATCTCAATCAGACAATGTTGGGGCCCAATGGTCAAAAAATCGATGTTATCGTCATGAGTAATGAATATTCAGCATTATCCAATAAATCAATATTATCCAACGGTTATTATATCAACATCATGACTGTAATCTATATGCCAATGAACATGCAATGAAACCTCGGTAACCCAAAAGAAATGCAGCCTGCATTCCCTACGTTCGCCTACGACCAATCCCGCATATCCTTTTTCATGCTCAAATCCCTGCACAGGGTATATAGCGTTTTTCATGCTCCAAAACAATAGACCTCAAAACCCTGAAACCTGAAACCCGTAAATGCTAAAACCCCAAAAACCTAAATCCTGCAACCTAAAGTCAAAATTGCTTCCCAGCCAGTGTTTTCCTTCATCCTAAGGTGACTGGCATGCGGTATTTTCATGTATTTTCTGGGTGTGTTGTTTGGATGTGGGCGAACGTGGGGGTTGGCGCCAACATCTTTATTGTTTTTTAATTATGACCCAACTTGATGCAATAAAACCACCCAGCCAACTGGCGACTTCTTGTTGTTTGTTGTGCATGAATCCCTTTGTGTTTGATATATAATATGTCTCACTTGTTCATTGACACATGCCAGTGTTTTGTGGAATGTTCCATGCACACATCTGTGTTTGGAAAAACTGTTGCAATGGGCGTGTCAATGCAAATTGCTCGTGGATTTAAAGTTCCAACGCTGGATAGAATCTATATCATGCCTGCTTTATCTCACTCCTATTCATGCTGAATAGATAGTTTACCACGATGACGATTGCATTTCCTGTTCCCTGGATATATAAGATGATACAAGATTCCCCATGTCTCAACACAGATCAAATATCATCAAATATCAAATCGCATATCAACAAATTCCATTTTTTTTGTTGCGTCAAACTACGGGATCCCATCGAGGCAGCCAGCAGCATTCTGGAGAAGCAGGAGCAGCTCCCTATGGCAGACCCTAAGGTCGCTGGGATGCTGATGCTGTGGAAATTCACGTTGTTATAGCTAGGTAAATCATGGTAGATCACTGCTGGCCATTTTCAATAGCAAAGTTAGCAAAGTGTTAGTTTAGTGGAGGCTACCCCACCCATGAATAGTGGTTGATTGGTCAACCGATGGTTGATATCTCTACGATAAATACCTTATATATTGAAATTAATTCGTGGCAATGGACAAGTCCCTGTACATTGGGATCTGAGTGGGAAAAAAACATCCATAAAATTGGGGGTTGTCCCTTGCCTTATTTGATTACCGGAGGGTATTGGGGTTCTGCTAAGCTAGTGAAAAGGGATCAATCAAGAACCCATTATTGGAATAGCTGTAAACAAACCAGTAGAAACGCAACCAGGTGTTTGGTGAGGCCCTCGCTTTAGAACGAGGAGCGGACCATCGCTTTAGAAAGCGTTCTCAACCATCGCTTTGGAACGCGGAAGATGATCCTACTTCCAGTACTTCATCCGGACAAAATATTTTACATATTTTACTTCACGCAGATCATCTACATCAACTTCACCTACATCACATACATCACCGCATTTCTACATCTTTCCTATATCATGTACATCATTTACATCATTGGAATCTACACACCACATACAACCTCTACATAATCTATATCAACCCCATCTACATCACATAATTACATTTTAAACGCCAGCTTTATCAACTTCATCAACATCGCACACATCAACTTCATTTACGTAACATACATAGATCATATACATCAATGTACATCAGTTCTTACACATGAGTCGTGACACAGAACTTGTTATCGGACCGACAAGGTGTAACGTTGACTGGCGACCGTTTTGGACTTCCCGCCCCACCCCATTGATCGCCAGAATGGCCATTGCCACCTGGTTTCCTATGTGGACTTGGGGGGTTTCCAAATGTTCCTGGCTTTACCTTAGTGGGCGTCATGGGCGTAGCCTGCCAAATCATTGAAGCCCAAAAAATGGAGCTGGTTCCAGCGGTGAGAGCCCACCATGGGACCATGGCAGGATTTGACCAGCTAAAGGACGGTCATCCAAGTTGTGTAGTCTCCCGTTCAAAAAGTCAGGCCTTCTGCGCGTGCTTGTCAGATTTGCTGGGTTGCTTGGTTGCAAAGGATGTATCTAAATGATTTTAATAGCACTTCATCTTGAACATCCAGATTTTAAGTACGAATGTAGATCTAGTTCGAGGTATATATGCACCATTAAACGATTTTAATAGCACTTCATTTTGAACATCCAGATTTTAAGTACGAATGTAGATATAGTTCGAGGATACACCATAGCTGGAACGAAATGATCATTATTTTAGATTGTCAAACCCACATTTCACAGGCTCAAGATAGACGAAACAGGGCAAGTCTTTGGTGCTGGTTTTGCTGTGTTGGATGTTCCCATTTTGTGGGCCTAATGATGTTTGGCTGGTGGTTTCAAGTGGTTTTCATTGTCAATGGTATTTGGGATGATGATCCCCACATATTTCAAAGATTGCTCTCGAACACATTAATCAGATGCTGACTTCAGAAGTGTTTGGTTGGGACATGTTGTGGCACTGATTTCCAAGGCAGTAACTGACACAGTGGGCTGTACATTTTTTATTTTATTGAGCATAGCTTGAATCCGGGGGCGCCTTGGACATTGCGACATCACAGCAATGGGATTTGGATTGGGTAGCTGTCCCCACATTGGCCCAAATTTATTCAGATTTATCCTAATGCCTATGATTTTTGCCGCCAGAAACCACTTGCCACTTGGTTTGGCATGGTTGGAGGTTTGTGAACAACTACTTGGCCTCAATTATCCATAGATATAGTCGTTTACCTCCCAAAAAATGCGGTACTCTTCCCATGAATGTACCAATTTTATCCAATTTTCACAAGCACTTCGAGGGTCAAATCTTGTTTTTTGGGTTCAAAACTTTAAAGACACCACCGTGGTTGACTGATGGTCCCAGGCAAAACTATGGGTGGTTCCTCCGGAGTTCTACTAAGCATCATGTTCATGGGGATGTGACCCTGGCTGCAGCGGAAAAAAATCCAGTGATTGGAAGGGAGCGATTCAGAGCTAGGGGTATTCATAGGCCCTATCAAAGGGAGCTAGTTGGAGCTATGAATTGAGTTTCCCAAGCACATGATAGTTCATTTCAGAATATTTCAGATGTTTTTTCCCAGACTTGCTGATGATGATGTTAATCTTGTTATGTATAAATTGATAAGTTTCCCATGAATCCATAATTTGGGGAAGCCACTGGGACTTGTAGACATATGTTGTGATGGTCTCCTTAAGAATGCCAAGTTTTGAATTGCAGGGTTCCCCAAAAAATGGATGTCCGTGGTTAGATTGCCAAACATTGATGCAGTGTGTGTGTGTGCAGTAGTACCTGGCCGTTTGAACAAAATCTGAGTACAGTATACCTCTAGGGTTTGTTTGAAAACAATGGATGCCCACAAATTATTAGCTATTTCAAGAGGGAGCATGATCATAGTTCATTGGAATTGGGGGTACACTATTCTCAGACAATCCGACAAATCAATTCAATACCACTGAAAGCTGTTAAGGAACTGAAAAAACGTGAGGCCTACCTTTTGGTAATTCCGAAAAGCAGGACTCTTGGGTTTCAAGGAGTGATGCGTCGTTTTTTTTGCCAACCCCCAAAGCTGGAACCGCACCCTGGAAGCCTGGAACCCTGGAACCTGCTGTTTGGTTGTAAAGCTGGGTCAATCAAACAGTTCGCCACTGAAATGGCAACGTTTAAGAAGTAGATCATCCATAGTCTACACATGTTTTTTTCGTTTTTTTCCATGCTGTTTTTGTATGTTTTTGTTATCATTAGAGGGTAAAGATGCTTAAGCATGCTAAAAAACATCCCATTTTAATCCCATCAAAATCCCAACTGCTGGAAGATCCAGAGGAATATCCCAGGAATTCCCAGTGCTTTTGGCCACAGATGAGGTCCAGTCATTTGGATGGATCCAATAGCTGGTCCTCGGGGCCTGCTGCCCTGAAGGCTGGATGCCGGAGGATGCCGGAGGATGCCGGAGGATGCTGGAGGATTGGACGGCCATATGTAAAAAATATATATATATATACATATTCACATGTGCCCATGCATGAGGTTCATATATATATATATTTGTACTTTTATATACATATATACATATACATATATATATACATATACATATATATATATATACATTAATATTATGTAAACATATGATGATCAGATAGTCACACACGCAAACTCTCTTCTTTGGCTGAGTTGTCAACTTTTTTGTTGATATAGTCCCCGCCAAAAAAAAACTCTTATATAGAATTCCCCTGCTATGTTGAAGATCCAGCACGGCCGGTTTCAGGTAGGTTTGCAGGCCATGATGGATGCTGGTGGAGCAGCGCCAGGTGAGCCTGGAAGTTGGGGATTACCCAACAAAAATGAGGCATAGGATGGGGATATGATATGAAATCATGGGATATACTTAACACTATTGTTGTTGTGTATGTCTCGAACAAGAATGGCTCATATATATATATATACTATTACCAACTAGTACTAACTATCATAGAAGTTCTTCACAAAAAGTGATGTTTTTTCCATCAAATTTAGGGGGTACCCTAATGGAAAGATATATAAACTCATTCATCTTGTGTGCTTCGGGCTTCAAACTGTCATATTCGCGGGCGGCGCCCAGTGGGAAAATCGGTCTGTTCAAAGCCTTTAAATTTACTGTAGTTTTCGTTTTCATTGAATTGTATACATGTTTTTTGAACGTTTAATATAGAGTTCTACTTTTTGTATTGGTTTGTTTCGTTTCTGTTTTTGAATGGGTGCGGTATAGTATGCTCTACAAGCGGCACATGTTCCAACTGCAGGCGCTCGCACGATGTTAGACGCATTGGTTCCTGCTGCAGATGCCCTGGTGGAACAGAAGGGACTGACAGGTGCCGCGTGAGCTCCGGGATTGGTGGGACCCTGGAACTGGCAGGGGCAACCAAAGCTATGGAAGAGAAATGATGATAAATCTCTACCCTGGTTGATAAAGTAGTCGGCGGAATCTCCAATTTCAGGTAAGCCCTAAGCCGTTTGGAATCATGCTTTGCTGGTATCCCTTAGTAACCCTTAGTGATGATTATCTGATGATTTCTGTTTCAAGGGGTTTGTGGCGGCCCGGGAGTTTCCAAGGCGCAAGCCCAACAATCACCGAACCATGGATTGAGTACAGGAAAGAACGACTCTGATGAAAGTACTGAGTTTGCGCAAGCCAATCTTGCTGTATAGGTGGGGTCAATACAGTGCCCAACTGATTTGTTATGTTCCTCTCGGTTGGTATCAAGATTATTTAGCCACGTATTGTCAATGCTTGTTAACTTTCATAATTCCCTGTGCTTAAGGACCCCCCCTGTCCTTAAGGGTCGGGTGTGTGCGCAAAGAGGTGTTTGGAAGTCAAAACTAGATTAGACTGGGATTGGATACATCCACCATACGAGGGTGTAGCTGCATAGCTCAAGATGACCCAGCAACTTTGGTGTGACCAGCTGAAAACGCAAACAACAACAACAAAATAGTATGATTTGCATGCAGAAAACTGCAAATCAATCACTGTGAGCATTATGATCACTGACAACTCTGAAACTGAATTTCATGGTGGCATACTAGACACCAAACGCCAGTGCCACCAAACAAAACGGAAACTTCTTGACGCACCATTTTTTCTTATTTTTTTGAATATTTTTCTAGTGTTTTTCTATTGTTTTTAAATTTTCATTGTTATCCTCAAAAAATATTTGTAATTTGATTTTCATTTTTCCAGTGTTTTTTTCAAAACAAAAATGCTTATTATGTTTATTAAAAAACTTTGTAATATTATTTTTATTGTTTGTTTCTAGTGTTTTTTCTATTTTTATATTTCGATTTTTTTGACTGTATTGCCTTTTTTTCCTTATGTTTTTAAGGGTCAGTCCTTAAATTTAGAGGGTCCAGCCCTTAAATTCAAAGGGTAAATCATTATATTCATAGGGTCAGTCCTTAAATTCATAGGGTTAGTCCTTAAATTCAAACAGTCCAGCCCTTAAATTCAAAGGGCCAGTCCTTAAATACAAAGGGTAAATCCTTAAATTCAGAAGGTTAGTCCTTGAATAACAAAATTTCCTTTGAAAGGGGTCCTTAGGGGTAAATGGGGTCCCGAGCTGCGCGCCGCGCGCGCGCGCGCCAAAAAGGCTTGTTTAGGAGACCATTTTGGCGCGCGACGCGTGCGCACCCAGGACCCCTTTCACTCTGAGGACCCCTTTCAAAGGAAATCTTGTTAAATTCAGAAGGTCAATCCTTATTCAGTGGGTCCAGCCCTTAAATTCAAAGGGCCAGTCCTTAAATACAAAGGGTAAATCCTTAAATTCAAAGGGCCAGTCCTTAAATTCAGAGGGTCAGTCCTTAAATTCAGATGGTCCAGCCCTTAAATTCAAAGGGTCAGTCCTTAAATACAAAGGGTAAACCCTTAAATTTAGAGGATCAGCCCTTAAATTCAGATGGTTATATAATCCTGAAATTCAAGTGGTCAGTTCTTAAATTCAGAGGGTCCAGTCCTTAAATTCAGACCGCCAATCCTTAAGTACAAATGCCCAATCCTTAAATTCCGATGGCCAGAATTTAAATTCAGATGGTCAACCCTTAAATTTTGATGGTCAATGCGTAGAATCCAATTATCCTGAACTTGAAAGGGCCCAATCCTTAAATTCAAAGGGCCTTTAGACTCTTATGATCCAATCCTTAAATTCAGAGGGTCGGACCTTAAATTCAGAGGGTCAGACCTTAAATTCAGAGGGTCAGACCTTAAATTCAGAGGGTCAGACCTTAGCTTCAGAGGGTCAGACCTTAGGTTCAGAGGGTCAGCCTTAAATTCAAAGGGTCCCTCTGTACTTAAGGAATTTTGGCATCACTTTTGGGTAAAAAACGACCAAAAACAAATGATTTGTATGCAAAAGTGATGCCAAAATTGCCACATTGGCCTAATTTGGCATATATTTTTCACCAAAAACTTTGATTTTTGATTGTTTTTTTATCAAAAAGTGATGCCAAAATTCCTTAAGTACAGAGGGACCCTCTGAATTTAAGGCTGACCCTCTGAATTTAAGGTCTGACCCTCTGAATTTAAGGTCTGACCCTCTAAATTTAAGGTCTGACCCTCTGAATTTAAGGTCTGACCGTCTGAATTTAAGGTCTGACCCTCTGAATTTAAGGTCTGACCCTCTGAATTTAAGGTCTGACCCTCTGAATTTAAGGTCTGGCCCTCTGAATTTAAGGTCTGGCCCTCTGAATTTAAGGTCTGACCCTCTGAATTTAAGGTCTGACCCTCTGAATTTAAGGTCTGACCCTCTGAATTTAAGGTCTGACCCTCTGAATTTAAGGTCTGACCCTCTGAATTTAAGGTCTGACCCTCTGAATTTAAGGTCTGACCCTCTGAATTTAAGGTCTGACCCTCTGAATTTAAGGTCTGGCCCTCTGAATTTAAGGTCTGATCCTCTGAATGTAAGGACTGGCCCTCGGAATTTAAGGATCGACCCTGTGAGTTTAAGATTTTGTATCAGGACTTGTAACAAAGTGCTTGTCACGTTTGAAGGGCAAACTAATGATTTAACAACCACCCTACACAATAGTTTTGGTTGCAGTCATCAGCAAAAAACAGTTACCCAATCACGGAGGCACATTGACAGAATCTGACTGACCATTGTTTCTGGTAGGTTCTCATGTCTGTGCTTTCAGGTTCACGCGCAGGCCAATCTAATCATCTCCTAGCAAGACTTTTGTCAACTCCGACTCTGTCAGAGCCAACCACTACCCATTAAAATCCCGTGGGTGGAAATGTTGGTTTGTGTTTCAAATCAACCCGCCAATTTTACCTTAAATGTGGCGATTGCTAGACCGATTTGCCAATTATGTTGGGCTGAACAGCATATTCATGGTAATAGAATTTATTTGTTACCCAATAATGGTAGCAATGCCATATTCAATAATTTTCAGGGAAATGTCAATATCCAATACTCGCCGCCAGCGCATGATTGAATGGTACTTTCTGCCATCAGTTCGATCCATTTCCGACCTGAGTTGGAATAATCGAGTTGAAGGGAACCCAGGATGAGGACGATGATGATGATGATGATGATGATGATGATGCTGATGATGGTGATGATGACGATGATGATGATGATGATGCTAATGATGACTATGATGTTGATTATGATGATGATGATGATGATGATGATGACTATGATGATGATGACGATGATGATGATGATGCCGCTGCCGCTGCCGCCGCTGATGATGATGATGATGATGATGATAATGATGAAGTTGATGATGATTATGATGTTGATTATGATCATCATCCACAATCCTACTGCTGCCTGGGGAGGGGAAAAAAACGCACTGACAGGCTGCCAGGTCTTGCAGTTGTTTGAGATCATACTGGGCATTGAACAAAAGCAATGGTTTGTTTGGATTCTGTTTAACATGTTACAGTCTGTTACAGAAATTCAAATCAATGAGATTCTTTCGTGCCGCCACTTGTTTGGCATGTTTGGATCATTTTTTCTTTGGAAAACAATCCATTCACTGAGCTCGCCTGTTGTATATCTTCAAATGATGGTCCTTATTTTGTCGATGCACAAATTTTCTATATAGCAAGGAATGCGATTTAAACAGAAACACAATATCGCACATTGAAAACATGCTTAGGGACATGGCCTCAACCTTAAATTCGAGGGGTGCCCCCGAATTACGAAAGTTAGCATCAATGCTGGAGCTCGCGCTCCGCTTGGTGATATATAGGAGGTTCACGGTTCCTTCATCCATCCATTTTAGTTTGTTGGATTTTTTGGGTGTGCATCCCAATTAGCGAATAGTTTGTAAATGGTTTAAAACCCATTAATCGAGCCCATTTAACTGGTGATATTTCCAGTAATCTCGCTGGCATTTTTGCTAGGGTTACTACCCACGGATAGAAACTGGGGCCCACACATCAGATTGTTGTTGAGATTGCTGGTGATACATCCAATTAAGTCCCATTCTCCCATTCAGGTCCATTGTTAATTACAGTAGGTATTCCATGAATATATTACATCTATGTATAATATGTGTAAAAAATAATATATATATATATATATATCCCCAAAATGTGAATCATTAATCATCATTAATATCCATGATATTCCATCTAATCGGGTCGCTAACCCTCACATCAGCGGCGCCAAGCGCCAGGTGCAGCGGCTGCCGCCAAGGAGGGAACGGAGAAGACAAAGTCCATGAAGCCCAAGGCGCCGTTTTCCTCTTTGGGGGGGGGTAAATATAGGAGACCAGACGGAATCAGTCACCCACTAGCAGAGTCAGACCACCCTTAGTCAATCACCCGTAAATGTAGTAATTATAGATTGATATAATATGGAATATTTATTTATATATATATATATTGATTTTATTTAGTTAGTTGTTGATTTGTTTATGTGTAAATGGGGTTTCTTAAGCCATTTGGGATCCCCAAGCCACCATGAGTTTCAATACTAAAATGGTCTAATTTGGATGATTTGGGGGTACCACCATTTTAGGAAGTATATTATACACACACATATGTGTGTATATATATAGAGAGAGAGAGATACCAAGAATTAGTAGATTTCGTTCACCTCAGCTAATACTAACACAGGAAGTACATAAACTGGGGATATTCCATGTACAAATGGCTTTTAGCTTGTTTGACTCTGGTTAAGTTATGACTTTCTTACTGAGTCACTGAGTGGGATGCGCCTCCCTGTATGATGTATGGAAGTTTGTTGTTCCTGGGGGAACTAAGGGGTGAGGGATGATGAATATCCTTGTAGTGAGGAGCCAGTTCATTTTCACCAAAGCACATGTATCAAGGAGAAAAGACCTCCTGGAGGCGGGCTGCAAGATTCCTTTCCATTAAGCATAAATAATACTGTATGTTCAAATATTTTTTCACTGGAGGATGTTTTCCAGGACCCTTCTGTCGACATCATTATTTTGACATCAATTTGAGGCGGGTCGCTCAGAGAATGTGCCCGAGTCTGTGCTCAAAGGCCCAAGGGGTTGAGCATAGCACATGGGGATTTGTGATGTTTTCAAGCCTATATATTGGCTGTAGGGGTTGGTTATGGTTTCTTTTATAACCCCGATGGACTGCAATTTGGGGCAAAGGATGGATTCTTACTGATTAAATTACAGTACAGACCTGGCTAGACATGAATTATCACACGCAATCCAATAAGGTGTAACTCCTGGTTGATCAATTGGGGAGGTTCCCCTCAAAACGGCGAGAATGTAAGCCTAAAAATTGTATTTTATGCAATTTATATATATATATATATACTGTATATACGTGTATGTATGTATATATACATATATATATATATATATATTTCTGTGTGTGTACATATATTTACACACTGATAACATATATTTATATATGTATATATATGTATATATATATATATGTATATATGTGTATATATGTGTATATATGTGTATATATATATATGTATATAAGAATATATATATATGTATATAATAATATATATATGTGTGTGTGCCAATACCCTTATCGTACCCCCATACTACATTCCCGTTAGCTGGTATATTGTAAGACTCATCAACCAGCCATCACTGTCGGGGTAAATGTTATATCTTTAGGCAATATTGAAGATGAATAGGATAATAGGATCTTTAAAAACTCTAGGTTTTGGAGTATGTCACATGGATTCATAATACCGCAATTCCATTCCTCTCTCCAAACATCGGAATTTCCTGACCACATGGGATGGGATTAATGGGGTATCCCCATTTTTCATCATTTGCCTCTTGCTGAATCATAGCCACAAGGGGTGGGAAACTGATCAGAAATGACCTTTTTATTTACCATTGGTTATTTTTAACATGGCTATATAGAAAGTGATTAAAGTGATCATTCATAGATGATTTATCATGATTTATCTATAATTATTGAAGATGGTGATTTTCCATTAAACATCATTAAACTGCGAAATGACCAGAAGATGCTCAGTTTCCCCTTGCAAAATCCATCGCCGCAACAGGAGTGCCAGATCCAGGCGCCAAGGCAGTTGAGCTGGTCTTCGCCGCACTCTGCCCGTGATGCGACCGCATTTCATCATCGTTTTGTCGAGATTCATCATGAACAGTGCCATGCACCATATAAAAAACAACCAGAATCAACATTGAAAGGGTTTTGATACAGAACATGTTCAAACATATGGGTTTTCCGCAACCGTTGTGAAGTTTACCAAAAGAGACAGTGAAGTGCCAAGAGTTGGACCTGACATTCCACAGGGCAAAACGGGATTTTGTTTGGATCAAGTGGTTCGATTTGAGCCCCAAATGCGGGTGCGAGCATTTCAACGAACAACATCCACAGAATTATGAGATGTGACCCCGACATGATATGTGCCGGGTATGGGTCATTTTTTAGAGACCCATGAGCCCGAAATCGGTCAAAGTTGATCCTTCAAGGGACTTCTTACTGATATGGAACCCGTCGGACGAGACTTTGAGGTTTCATGGTTTTGATGTTTACATCTTGAATCATTGGTTGTGAGGGAACTCTGCCCATTGACAGAGTGAACATGCCATCACTATAATCATTGAATCATTGTATTCAGTACTCAGGAGGCAAGGGCCATGAAACCCGCATCAACTTTGACCAAATTTGTTGATCTCAACTAACACCTGCGCCTGCCGCAAAGTGAGAGAGGATCAAAGTGGGAAGGGCGGGAAATGTCGCTGGACAACATAGATAGAACTTAGACATCACAGATGTAGATGACGTTGGAGTATCACAGAAAAACAATGGTTTATGATGGTTTATGCATGGTTTTGATTCATGTTGGAACAACATTGGAGTAGATTGGCTGACATGGCGCACAGAAAAAGTACAGCTGATGTGGGAACCGGATCCCAAGGAATCCTTAGGCCTCGGGCCATGAAATCCATGCGCTGCAGTCTGTGCTCAAGACATGCCAGTATCAAAAATGCAGAAGCGGAGATGAGCATCTATGGTGTTGTGGGCCTCTGACTGCTAAGCAGAAAGACTGTTACTGCGCGTATGTAAATGACAGGTTTGTATATACATTTGAATATTTTGTTTGGGTTTGGGGCATGCCAATGCTCGAAAATACGGCACTGTATGCATTTGTATGCAGTTTCGCGTCCTATACATTCATCTCTGCCATGTCGGTTTACTAGACAGTCTTTGACACAGAAACAGAAGCAGCTGAGGCTGCAGTTGGTTGTAGGATGTTGTAGGATGTTGTAGGACGTTCACAGTATATCTTTGCGCAGATTCCCATATGTATCCATATAGAAGTATCAGTGATTGTTCCTTATATCCATACATATGTTGTTATGTGTATATATATATAGTTGTATAATTATATATAGTTATATATATATATAGTTATTTATTTACATAGTTATACATATAGTTATATATAGTTATATGTATACATACATCTTTGCACTCATTTGCACTATGCACCTATCATTATCAGGCCGTGGTTGCCATGGGCCATGAAGATTGCAGCTGAGTCTCCCGAATCTCGGAGCATTTTTTGACGGCTTCCCACGCTACTTCGACATGTTTTGTTCAGTTACCCTCTGGTAAACAGTCCCATAACTATAGAACATCACCATTTTTAATGGGAAAACTCACTATAAATGGCCATTTTCAATAGCTATGTTAGTTTTGTTGTTCAGTTACTTCTGATTGCTTCTGTGTATGCACTGTTCGATATGTTTGTCGATCGTTTTTTCGACAGCAAGAGGGTTGTGAGTGGCCCTTGTGGGCATGGAGGGCGCTGGACATGAAAGACATCGGAGTCATGCCAAAAAGCTCTGTTGGCTAATGGTTACACAGTTTATTAGTGGAATTATGATGTACCCTCCAGTAAATTAACATAGTCCCTGCCAGATAGGATTTGGAATATTAGTGTCCACTAAAAATTGGTGATTTTTGGGGTCTGTGTTAATTTACCAGAGGGTACTATTTCTATTATGTATGCTAGACGGCTTATGGGGTCATGTCCGCATGGGATTTTAGGCAAGGCACGGCGCACGGCTGGTTCCTCCAAGTTTTTTTTTGGTTCGAACCGACGGCCAAATTCGATGTGTTCTCAGGTTCGTATTTTTAACAAGTATAAAATGCCCAAGATAACATGTTCCATCATGATGATATGATGGCAACATATTCAAAATAAACTGAAGAAATCAAGAATAACCATCTCAAGTGGGACCCACATCTTTCACGCCCTTCTTTGCTACTGCATGGCCAGGAATGGCGGGAATTCTTAGATGAGATTCTGAAGGTGCACCTGACGCAGCACACGTTCGGAACGCAAATTTCATACCATTTGTGTCTACACATTTCTACACATTAAATTTCAATCCACGTCTTAAAGGCGGGTCAACTTTGAGTTTGAGCTAATTAAATCAGGTGATCACCGGATCCCCAGGCAGCTCCGAAGCAGCGCCTCCCGTGGCCAGAGCTGCAACAGCGGGCGCTGCAAAAGCTGACGCGGAGCCGGAGCGCGAGCGGAAAACGGCGGAAGGTGGCGTTGGAGGTGCTGGTGCCGTGGATCAACTGATGAATTTAAAGTTTCTATGATTTTCTATGGATATAGATGTTGATGTGGATTTTATAATATTTTATATGGATAATGGATGATAATGGCATATATCCGATTTTGGATGATTTGTGTAAAGTTTCTATGGATATCGATTTTGATGTGGATTTTGATGTGGAGTTTGATATGGATTTTGATGTGGATTTTGATGTGGATTTATGATGATTTATGATTATTAAATTATTAATTACATAATGGCATGTCAGATCAAATTTGTAGGGATTGATAGAAACCAGGTAATAACATGAATATTGATGATTTTTTCATGGAATATTGGATTTATTTTGATTTCTTACTATAATTGTGGAACATCCAACTGTATATATATATATATGTATATATATATATGTATATATATATTAATATGTACGTAGTATAGTTTCTATTATGGTGCTGATATGGTACCTAGTTTCTATCATGATGATGATGTACAAATAAAAGGAATGGCTGATGATTTATAGAAACCTTGTCGGTGATAACAACCCATATGATTATCCAATAAGTTTGGTTATTATATTGATTTTCCAAGAATGATTAGACGTTTATAATCAACATGGTCATGGAATATTGATGGATTTGTTGAATATATTATTATTATTAAATAATTAATGGAATATCCAAATTGTAAATGGATTTATCTATGTTTTTGAAAGTTAGTGAGCCATTATCATTCAGATGGGATATAAACTAGGTAATGATATATTATTATCCAAAAAGAAATGGAAAATTGCAAGATTTACTGTCCAACTTGATTATTGGAATAGTGTATCCTACGTAGAACAATTATTGGGAATATTGGGGTGGATCCATTATTGGGATAATTTGCGGATATTATGAATGATTATTGTTTTATAATGTGGTACACATGACATGGATTAGATTTCAACCCTCCAACGTTGGATTTATGTTTTTTTTAATGGTTTTACCACATTAGTGGGAGTGTAAGCTGAAATGGATGATATTTTGATGATTGATTGGAATAAACAATTGGATGTTTGAATGGATTATAAATCTAGTTGATCTACCTGTGAGTTGTGGAACATACAAGTCCGCAACCTTAACGTTCGCCCAGACTCATCATTGCGACATAACAGAGACAATTCTGTGTTACTGGGAAGTTGCGAATCTAAGCAAGGCCAAGGGGGAAAATTAGGCCACGGTGGCATGTGAAAGATACCTTGAATACAGTTATCTTCATGAGGAAACAATATCACCTGATCATCATGAGGGATCAAAATCCGCCACCCCTATGACCAATATGCTGAACGGGCTAACAACACGCCACCCTCTATGGCCAATATATGCCAATATGTTGAATCGGGTAATTACATCAACATTATCTTCATGAGGGAACAAAATCCGCCACCCCCTATGACCAATACGATAAACGGACTAACACCATCAACTTTATCTTCATGAGGGATCAAAATTCGCCACCTCCTCAGAACAATATTACAATATGTTGATTGGGGAAATAAATAACATCAATTTTATCTTCATGAGGGATCCAAATTAGCAACCCCCTCTGAACAATACGTTGGTTGCGGGACATCAACTCCGGGCAAACGTCCAGGTTGCAGCGATGTTCATGACATGGATTAGATTTCAACCCTCCAACATTGGATTTATGTTGTTGTTTTTTTTTAAATGGTTTCACCACATTAGTGGGAGTGTAAGCTGAAATGGATGATATATTGATGATTAATTGGAATAAACAATTGGATGTTTGAATGGATTATAAATCTAGTTGATCTACCTGTGAGTTGTGGAACATGCAATCAACAAGAATTGGATTTGCTGGAAACTGTTGTCGTTTGTTTTTTCTCCCCCCAAATATGAAAATTGTATTGGACATTTATTCATTTGTCACCATGACATATATACATGTATATATATAATTATATATATAAATAAATAAATATTTTCTAATTACATATAATTATACATATATCAAAAAGCGGACAATGGAGGTTGTTTTCTTTTTAAAACCCATTGCTTCGGATCTTCCAACCTTGACATTTAGCACTGCAAGGACAGTTGTGACGCCGTTGTGACGCCGTTGTGATGCTGTCCCGGCGTCCAAGGCTCATTTGCCTGCGGACTACGTCAACCCGAGGGATCCCTTCGTGCGGCTGCCGCAGACACCGCAGACTCCGACTCCGCGCGGAGATTCGCTGCGGGTGATTTGCTGCGGAGATCTTCATGCGCTGCGACATGAGATCCAGGCGCTTGGGATTCAACCCATGTCCCCCGGCATGGCAAAGGGCAAATCTTAGCCAGCCAGCTATGAATGCTATGAATACGGGCTATGAACATTTATAACAATCAATTATTATCAATTATTGGTGAATTTGATGCAGTGGCTAGGCGCAGATGATTCCCCAACACTGTTTTTTGTGCCAAACATTTGTGATATTCGGATTCTTTTGTGCCAATAGCAAAATGCACAAATTCCTTTGCTGTTTGCAGACTCACAGTCCAGATTTGTTCTTGGCGAACAGATTTAAGATATCAAGAATTGTATTTTAAATGGCCCCACACACATGTGTATGTATATATATATATAATGATATATAATGTATGTATTGACGTCATGGGACAATCTATCGAACTCCATGGTGGAATATTCCAAAAACGGTCGCAACAACCTCAGGCTGCTGCGTGCCAGAAGGAGGCGCCCTTGGTGGTGGTGGACTTCTCCTCAGAAGCTCAGGGGCATGTCACTACGGGATGTCACCATAGGTTAAATATGGTTAAATGCATTATGTGGTAAAAAATGTGGTGTAAAATGTGTAAAATATCTGGTATTCTATGATATTCTATGGCATTCTATTCTATGATATTCTATGGTTACGTATGGTTTTGTAATGTCTTGTCTCCAGTAATCAAATGTAACACAACGGAAAATCACCATGCTGGGGCAGCCGTCTAAAGGATGAGACGGAAAGTACCAGTAGTACTAACTCAAACTTCGGGTGTACCCTTTGGTAAACTAACATGGCTCTGGACAATCACATTTTTTATGGGTAAATCAACTATAAATTGCTATTTTCAATAGCTATGTTAAATTAACAGAGGGTACATATCATTAGCTATCACTGAACATGTCAATCTTCCTAATCGTTAGGGTTGTCCAGGAATCTGTAAGGCAGTTTTTTGTTCGTGGTTAGGCTTTGTGGTGGTGTGAGGGGCAGCTATTTTTATCATGGGGACCGAATTAAATGATGATTAAGAAAGAAATAGCAACCAATTTAAAGACCACAACTAAGGTCATGGTTTCGTTTGTTAAAATGATGTCAGTTGGTCCGCTTGGAACCCGCTTAGTTTGTTGGAGAGGCACCTTGACGAATCCATATAGGTTAAAGCATCGAATCCCCAAAAAGAAAAAACATTGGTTCACGTTAATATATCTTGCCCACCATGTATTTAAACATTTGTGGTGGGCCCCCATATATATATATACATTCATATATATATATATACATATATATATATATGTAGCAATTCCACACAAAAATCATTGGTTCCACAAGTTTCGGGGCCGAGCTCAGGACTTGTGTTTGCCCTGCGCCCGACTGAAGCCCGAGATCCATGAGCTTTCGCTCGAGATGCCCGAGGTCGTCTTCTTGGAGGCCCATGGACGCGGAGCCATGGCGGAGACATGCCGCATGGGATAAAGATGAGACAAAATAGACAAAGTGTTTGAAAGTCCCATTTTTTTTGGGGTAAACCGCTAAACCATGGTAAATCGCCTGTTTTATGGTTCTTTGATTTTTTTTTGTGGTTTTTGTATGGATCTGATAGGTTGCTGATTCAGGTGGCTGGTGTTCAGTTGCTTTTCATGTTCCGTCCTTATATGGACTGATCAATATTTTGGGGATGGGGTGAAAACACTACACCATACAGCATAGTATATATATATAAATCAAAAAAACAACGACATGATATGTGATCCGATCAAACCTGTAGCAATCCAAGAAGATTATCACTAATTTAGTGGGATTTTACCATGCCTTTATCTTTATGGGGACAACAAAAAAATCACGTGGTGCAGAACTTCGAATTGAAAACCTGCAGGTAGACGTGGAGATGAATTCAGAGGCTGCTGACGCCTATGGAGTTACATCTTTGCCCACCTTCATCTTCTTCAAGCAGAAGAAACTGCTGGGTCGCTATGAAGGCCTTGGCTCGTGAGGCGAAGACTTCTGAAATACTAGAGCGGGAGACCCACGGGAAATCAAAACATATATAATTGGAAGAAGATGTTTCTCAAACATGGCGTGATGTAGCCATCATTCTGAAATTCGGAAGGCTATTTCTGGAAGATCCACCTCGACAATTATTCTTTGGACATGATATAGCGTTGGATTTGTGCTCCGGATCCATGTTTTTGCTTTGTTCTTCAACTTTGACCCTCAGAATCGCTTTACCCTGAGAAAAACCTCAGGAAACCCAGAATCTTCACTTTGAAAAGGACAACCAGTGTCCAAAGTCCAAACCCATGATTTTCCATGTTTTTCCCTGAGTTTCCAGTGGTGCCTCGGGGTCGAGGTTCGGATGTTGATCAGCTGACACTGAAACTCTTGGAGTACAAGTGATGGCCGCTGTTGTGATGGCCAAACGCCAGGAAAGAAGGGCCGTCGCTTGGGGAAAATCACGATCAACCATTGGATTCTTGCGGATCTTTGATGCGGTTGTGCATGTGTTGGAATAAATGAGATTCCCATAGATCCACCAATTATTTGTATTATTTGTTGTTGTTGTTGTTGTTGTTGTTGTTGTTGTTGTTGTTGTTGTTGTTGTTGTTGTTGTTGTTGTTGGTGTTGGTGTTGTTGTTGTTGGTGTTGGTGTTGTTGGTGTTGTTGGTGTTGTTGGTGTTGTTGGTGTTGTTGGTGTTGGTGTTGTTGGTGTTGTTGGTGTTGTTGGTGTTGTTGGTGTTGTTGGTGTTGTTGGTGTTGTTGTTGTTGTTGGTGTTGTTGTTGGTGTTGGTGTTGGTGTTGGTGTTGGTAAATGTGCATCTGTTGCTATAATACCTTATGACAGTGGCTCGCCATGCTCGATACTTGGGAGCCAGGACTTGGCGTCTCCCAGTGTTATAAAGGGGTTCAGTTGCGCCCCACTAGCTACGGGTATAAATTATGAGTGTATATGTGTATATATATATATATAACTATAATATCTCTAATTATTTATTTATATATATATATCGATATTATCATAAAACCTGTAGTTATAAAATGTTATACATACTACAGTTTTGCCCAACTTCGCGATCCCGACTTGTTGGGCCCCACCAAACACATTAATCCCATCAAAATCATGTATCGAATATTTACCAACACATGCCCCAAACATCACCCAAATGTAGGTAAAAGTGCCATACATGGCAAATACATGGCAAATACATGGCAAATACATGGACATACATGGCATATGGGATCATATGGGATTATTGACTATATAAAATCCTTAAATCATCCTCAAATCATATGGGCGCCAAAGGGGCGCCTGGCACAGGCGGCACGCTGTCAAGGACGAGGTGCCGAACGTTCCTCCGGGATTTGGAGACATGTTGGTGAAACATGGTGAAACTAGGAATTACTCGAATTGGCGAAGTTTTTTCTTTTTTTTGGGGGGGTGGGAAATGTGGGTAAGGAATAGGACATATACGGAAAGATACTTTATACTGGAATGATTTGGGACGGTATTTTTCAGGTTTCATGTTAAACAGTACTGGGAACCACATATTACGGGGCAAGCCTTGCCGCCTTAATAGTATGATGATTTTCCAAGACATTGCCAAAGATGCTGACCCAACCGTTGACAACTCTTTCCGCAGCTTTTTGGCTTAAGAGAACGCCAAGGGAAAGCAGCAACATGCAAGGCGTCAGGCGTCAGCGACAATAAATACCAACAGAAGAAAGTAATGAGGACAAGGTCTTAGATAAAAGAGGCTGCTTCATCTTCAACGCCTTCTTTTTTGGCACAACCTCTGAAATTGGTCTCTTTTATAATATGTGCTGAAACCTGACACGATGGTCAATTCACTCGTCACCAGCCTTTTGGACGCTGCTTCTTGCGAATGCGCACAGCCGCACATGGGTGGTGCCGATGCCAACCACAAGGCCATGCTTGGTGTTTTGTAACAAACTCTTGGGGGTTAGCATCCAAGAACCATGGGGCTTTGATTGGGCTTCACCACAAACATGACCAAGGGACCTTGGTGGGACGTTATGAGGATTGGTATAGGACGCATTTCCAAGATTGCCACCATCTACAATTTGATGACCTATCTCGGAAAAGTGTGGGTAAGAACCTCTGTGTTTTTTGTTACCATCTGGTTATTTTTTTTCCAGTTTGCCATGGAAAATCACCACCATGCTATGAAAAGAACGGTAAACCATGGTAAACCATCTATTTCGATTAGGGCCATTATGGGCCATCATTTCCCATGGCGAACTGTTCAGCATCGCCATCCGTCAGGGCCAAGCGCATTTGGCACCACATCACCGGACCAAGGTGGGTGGGTTTAGCATATTGTACAATGTGAGGCCCCCGTTCGATAGCGTTCAGTTGGTGAACATAACTCCAATTTCACTATATGGTTTATGGTACGCAAATAACTATAGTTACTGGGGCGAATCTAAACCAACAAACATCACTGGGGGGCCCCACCTTGTAGCATTATGAAATATTATTATAATATATAACTGGGATACGAAAAAAAAACGAAAAAGGGATATGATGTGATTTTTTTTCCTCCCGGTGATCAAACACGTTGAAAATCATCCATTCATAGATGATTTCCTTGTGAAAATACTGCAATTTAAAGAATAATTGTCATTGCCATGTTTGATTGCCTGAAGGTAATCATTGTAATCATTGTAATCCAGATGTATCCATCCGTTGGGTAAGGATTTGCCAGTTTCATCATCTCAGGAGAGAGGGTAACCAGGATGAGTATGCAGGATTTCTTAGGAATCCAGTTCAACTTGACCAAGACGTGATTCGTCTGTGAGACCAGTTGCAAGACCGTAGTACCAAACGCTGCGCTCGTTTCTGGACGTTCAACCGATTTTGTTCTCCAGACTAGGGCGATTGTTCAACATGTTGCACATTGGGGTTTAGAAAGCAATAATTGCGAAGGTGGTTGATGCACGCAAGGATATGTTCTTTCATGTGCATTACTATTTTTGGGTCAGCACATGTCCTGGTACTTGTAGCCCCTGCTTCGCACAAACAACACACGCGTCAGATATCTCCCTAGCCGTATGCA